CATCCTAGAGAGCAGCAGCAGCCGGTCCTGGCTGAGCCTGTGGCGGACCGGCATGCTGCCCCTGCTCCTGAGCGCCCGCCTTGGCCGCTGAGCGCGTGGCGCGCGACCGTTCCCATTCCGCTTTGTGCTTGCGCTTGGTGTGGTGGTACATATTCGACTTGGATCGGAACTCCGTGGGGCAGAAGGCGCAGGTGTGCAGCTTGACGCCCGTGTGGGTGGCAAAGTGCTCCTGGTTGGGGAAAAGTCTGGGTTAATAACGATACAGCATGGGCTCCTGCAGCATGCGCTCACCTCCAAATACCGCTTCATCTTGAAGCACTTGCCGCACACATCACAGGCATACTTGGGCTTGCTTAGGCAGCGATGATTCTGGCCAGGAAGCTCGCCACAGTTGGGACAAATGACCGACACGGGTGCGGCGGCATGGATGATGGCCTGTAGCGCAGCGGGCTTTTCCGTCTCTGCCGGTGGATTCCTGTGGAAGATTGTTCGATAAGCTAACTTTTTGCCGGGGCCAACTCCCACCTCCACTACTCACCCGAAGGGATAATTCAACGTTGCCCCTGTAGTCGTCGTCGTCGTTGTGGTGGCGGCACTACTCGTTCCCACTGCCGCCGCTGCAGCCGCTGTTGCCGACATGACAGCAAATAGTTGCTCCTGCTGCTGTTGCTGCAAGAGACTCACGCACAGGCGCTGCTGCAGGCTGTCCGTTTGTCCTGCAGGATTGCCCGTGAGCGAAGCGGCTGCCACCACAGCCGCCGCCACTGCATTGTAGTTGGCCAGCATGAGCTCGTTCTCCTTAAGCCTCTTCTGGGGCGAATCCTCGTCGCTGGCATCGCTGCCCTCCGTGTGCTGGACCTTTTTCGGCGAGTGCGTCTTGCGGCGACTGGCCCGATTGCGTGAGCCCCGGCTGGCGGATGGTGGCGTCTTGGTGATGGTCAGGTTTATGGCCTCGCTAGGCTGGCCTTTGATCACGGACAGGGGCAGCTGTTGTGGTTGGGTGGGTGGTGAGAGCAGAGGAGCTGCAGCAGCCGCAGCCGGAAGGGTAGAAATGGCAGGGGGGTGAGGTGGAGCAACAACAGTAAGGGCAGGAGCAGGAGCTGGAGCCGGAGCCGAAGCAGAAGCTGACTCCTCCGGTGCCGCGTGATTCTGGCCCGACTTGGCCGCATCCCGCTCCTCGCGCGCCTTCAGCCACTGGGTGGTGTGCTTGCTCTTCACGTGGGTGTACATATTCGAACGGCAGCGGAAGGCCATCTCGCAGTATGGACAGGCGATGGGCCGGTCGCCGGTGTGCGTGGCTATGTGCTCCTCCAGGTAGCGGCGCATCTTGAAGGATTTCTCGCAGAACATGCAGGGGAACTTGTTGGCCGTGGTGGGCGTGACGGCCTTGGGCTCCTCCGCCGGCAGCTGGGGCTGTGCGTCTATGTCCGGCGGGTCCTGCTGCACCTCGCTGCCCTCCTCCGACCAGTTGACATCGCAATCGATGGCCAGGAACTGGCTGCACAGCGTCGTCTGCTTTAGCTCCACCAGCTTCCAGAAGTTGTGAAAGCTCTCCAGTTGCGAGCAGCACTCGGTGCAAATGCAGGTGGAGATGGCATCGTCGCGGGAGAGCTGGAGGGGATTGGCATTAGTAGAGGGGGGATTGGCAGGCGGAGGGTTGGAGGTTTTGCCACTTACGCAGAGGTACAAGTGAATCGAAATCAGCTGCACCAGGTAGCTCTCCGGCATCGCCTTTCCGTCGTCCTCGTCCTCCGGGGCGGACGCACTGGCTCCGCCGGCGCTGCCGCCGAACAGCAGCACCGCGCTCTGCTCGTCCAGCGCGTTCAGACACAGGCGACAGATCATTTTGTTCCGTTCCGTAGTTTTACTTGATAAAATTCGATCTTACTCCATTTATTTTATTTTATTCCATTAGTTTGTGTTCTGCCCACGCACGGTCACACTTTCCTAGCGGTAGCACACCCACTCGGCTATCGATTTGTCGGGCGTTCCGTTACGTTAGCTTCGAGCTTACGTTACGTGACGGGCAACGTGACGAAAAAGCGTTATTTTAAACTGAATTCCATTACGAAGTTTTTAAATTCAAATAAGTAAGATGATAAAATGTAAAGAAAATAAAAATTCAAATAATGAAATGCAGAATGGAGCAAAAAAAAACATATTATTTTAAACGTCGCCTTTTCTTTTAACTATTTATTGTATCATGTATGATGATGCAGCATAAGTTTCAACCTACATGCTAAGCAAAAATGCTATTTTATTTTTTCGTTTTCCGAATGACTTTCAATAAATAAAATAGACTCTTATTAGTGTATTGTATTTCATTTAAAGTTTATTAACCTTTTAAGGTATTTATGTGATCTTAGGTCAACATTACATCGTTTTAGAAAGTATTACTTTGGAGTGAATTGGCAAAAAGAACAGAAAATACAGATTGATGTTTCAAGATGCGTGAGGAAATATTTGATTGAAGAGGTCGCACATATTGCAAAACCAAAAACCAAAACTTCAGAAACATTGCAACACTTAGGAGTTACTTTATTCCGCTAAAATTTGAGAATGTCGAAAACCCTTTCTCGACTGACCACAAGTTGCACCATGTGCAATGATAACCATTTATTTTGGTGACTGAGGGTTTTGGCAACGAGCACAGCGAATGGAGCTTTCAGAGCTTCGGTTTTTGCCTTATCTAAAAATGCATATATCATTCCTCACTTGGCCAAAAGGCGCCAATTTGCTTGGGCCGCTTGCATTGATGATGCTGCGACCGCAATTAGCAGCCAGTGCGAATATTCTGGCTAATTGATTTGCAAAATGATGCAACGAAGTTGGCACACAGCAAGTGCATTATTACAAAATGCACTTTGCCATGATTGACACACTCGATCTCCCGATCAGAATTCAAATGTTCCACTCCCACATATATGTAGAGGTTTTCTGACATTCAAATATAAACGAGAATTTTATAGGTCGATAAGGAAATACAAATTAGTCATAGTTCAAATACTATGTTTTCTTAGATATTTTCCTTTTTCTTTTCTTGTCATTTAGTTTTCCAGTCAATTTTGTTCCAGTGCATCACCCTAAAGCTAAGGTCGTTGAAAAGTGCCAAGAACGAAGGCAACCATTCACATGACCATAATTCCCAACTCAACGTATATTCCAAGTGGTACGTTGACCATTTTAATTTGGTAGTTAGCACTTTTTGCCCAAAGTCTGAGTTGGGCTTTGTTTTAAAACATTTATGGGGCGGCTAAGTTCCATTTTCAAGGCCACTCAGCTGTTTTCGAGAGACTTAAGTAAATGTGAACTTGTGCGTGTTTATGCTGCGTTTGTAGTTTACAACTGCATTAAATTGGCCACCGAATGGTACGGTCCGACTTCCGTAATGTGAACAGTGAATATTTGATTTTTATTTGCAAGCAAATGGGTTTTACATTTTACGACTTAAGACTTTGTTGTTCCACGTGGAGAAAGATTAATTTTTATTTGTAACTTCAAAGGTTGAAGTCATTTTGAAATATTTTATATTACTTTTTACTAAGTTTAACTATAAATTTAAGACCAATGAGTTGAGTACTTTGTTACGGAAATTTATACAAAATTGAATGTCATGAAAATGAACAACATGTCGAATGAGCAATTTTTTAACATCTTGAAAATCAGTTAGAAAGTGGAAGGAATAGTATAAAAGGTCTCAAAGATTTTCTAAAATTAATGGTTATTCTTTTTGTATACTTAAAGAAACAAATAAAACAACATGTTACTTTATAAGGCAAAAGTTTTGAAAAGAATTGTTTTTGAAATGGAATGCTAGAGATGTATACATCTGATTTGAGTCTTTCTTCAGAAGGTTGACTGTAAATCCAAATGGAAATACGATCGCAGGTGTGGGACAGGTAAGTTTCCAGTTGTCTGCCGTGTTCTGTGGGCCATCAACAAAAATTGTACCCAAATTCGCTTTCGCCGCTGCTGCTTCTTTTTGACAGTTTTGTTTTAATTCATGTTCATGCTTTGTTGTCGCCGTTTCACAGTGGACGGTTGTAAATAGTTTGGCTTTGGCTTGGATTGGTTTTAACTTGCGAAACACGTCCGGGCCGAGAGACCCGCCGCCAAGCCAGTTCAGTTGGCCAGCTCAGCCGGGAGCAGAGCAGCATAACAAGTGGAGCGCGACTTCGCCTTGCCGAAAATTGTTTGCCAATGTCGCGATAAAGCTAAGGAGAAAAAAACCAAGCCAACCGCACGAGTAAAATGCCGCCAAACATGGCCATGCGGCAATGGCCTAAACCTATGGTGGAAAGCCGGAAAAACCGCACAGCACCCACGCAATACGCACACGCAAAAAAAGACAAGACAAGTCAACACAACACACACCTGGCGGTTTTTGACCTTCTGACACAGTGAGTTCCATAGTGAAAATTACCCAACAACGACTGAATATTGAGTTATTTGGAGATGACAGCTTAATAAAATACTTAAGAAACAGCCAATAACAAATGGGAAAGGTAAATTTTGCCCAGTCGAAAATTAACATAGGATATGAAATTATTAAACAGCATTGTTATACAATGTTTATAAGATGGGAGACAAGTACCAAGTGCCAGAAAAATGATCATGTTTCAAACAAAACTAATGAAAGCCAAACTAGATCATCAATTTATGTCAGCAGTTAATAAAATACACACAGAAAATCTAAAGAAATTAAAATAATTAACTATTCCTGGCAATAATCGAATCTGCATTACTTTTTTAATATTAAGTACCATTATTTACTTTTAAGGATCTCTTGTGGATGCCTTAAAAAGCAAGATGGCAACGCCAAGAGGCACATACGTTGCATGATCGCACAGCAGGTTGCCAGACTTTTGCCCCATATCCTCCCCCTTTTCGCCGATATTCAAGCACTTATTATTTGCGATGCCGGCGGAGGCAGCGACGTCGGCTGCGGCAGAGCTCCAGTGGCAGAGCGACTCGACGAAAAGCCAAAAAAGCCAAGTTCCAATCAGTTGCAGTCGCGAATTAGCGTCGCACAGACGCTCTGTCTCGCATAAATTTAAATCCAACCGCTCCTCTCTGCCAACTCTGTCTCGCTCTCTCCCGGAAGTCCGATAGCTACGATAGCTCCGATAATTCCGATAGTTGTGGGTGGTGAAACGGTGTAAGGTGTAAGGCTAACGCTTCAAAATGGTCCATTTGAACGAGAAGAACGAGGATCAGCTGATGGCCAAACGGATTTCGGAGCTGCAGGAGTGGCTCAAATCGCAGCCGCAATTACCGCAGAATATATGTTCGTATAGCCAAGTGGAAGTGGGTCAGATCGCAAAAAGCCCCTCTTCGTCTTCTCCGTGAAGAGCACCGAAAGAAATTGCGATGGTTTCGGATATCCCCCCATTGCAATTTCTAATATGAGAATAAAGTGCTGTTTTTTTTATTGTGCTATCTTTCTGAAGATCGTGTCACTAAATTATTATTATAGATGTTAACTAGCACATCTAAAAATGATTTATTAATTATTACTATCAGTATTAATATTTTAAATGGAATATCAACTACTGTATTTAAATAATTTTAGGAGATATCCCTTTTAAACTCAACATTAAAGTGTTTTCCTTTGCATTATCTATTAGCGTAAGGATTGTTGATTACAAGATCATTTTAAAGGATCGGTTCTTCTTCAGTGATCCCAGTTAGTTCTTATACATTGTTTGCTGTGTGATTGCTGTTGGTGGCCAACTTTTATTGTGAGTCAATTGCCTGAGCGATGGGAACCACAGCCAGTTGCATAACCATCGCACCGCAGAGACTTATGAATGCACCTGTTCCCCTGCCCACCTGTACCCACCCGAACTCACCTCCATCCTCCTCCTCCTCTGCAGCCCGTCTGCTTCTGCGCCGCTTTCTGCACACGACGCGCGGGGATCCATCCGCCGCCCAGCGCCTCTTGGAACTCAATTATGGACTGCGCAACAAACATGCCCACATCTTCATCGATCGCGATCCCCTGGACGACAGCTCTCAGCAGCTTCTGCAAGTCGCGTGAGTACCAAGATAAAGCGTTTCGGGAACTAGGATTCAAGGGAATACCAAGAAACCTTGTAAGACCAATGCCAAAGATCTTAAGTATTCCATGGAAAGGAATCATTTCTTAGGATTTCTCCACCTAAGTATATAAAAAAAAAAATCAGAAAAATTAAAGCAGGAAAATCGGTATAAGACCTCCTTCCTCATTTCATTGTCCATAAAAAATATTACTATCTTCAAAATCTCAAAAAAGTAAGGTTTATATATGCATTTGTTAAAAGCTATTGTTTATATAATTAAGTTAAGTGCCAAAAAAAATAATATAAAATTCACCGCCATGGTAATAAATTTAAAACCTAAAAAATGGTTATTACCAAGTTAGACGGGTTTATAAGCTTAAGAAGTTAACCGAATTAAAAATATTACATTTTCATACAAAACCAACAAAATGGGTAAACAAAGTTCAGTTTCAGAAAATCAAATCCAAAACACGTCCGTATCCGTATACATGGTCCGGCTTACAAACCAATTTTACAATCTACTAAAAATCTCCTCCAGAAAATCAATAAAAATAAGTACCGTCAAAAAAGCCATAACAGAAATTTACTGTCAGATAAATGCTTCAATACAGACATTAAACGCTGAACGAGACTTTGGTTTTAGTGGCAACAGTCCAATCAACTAGTAATTAGCTGAGATTCCTGTGAAAGTGGAAAAAACCTCTGATTTTCTGGCCATGTCATTTGCTGGGGTGATATTAGCTTAGATCTTGTGAGCCCCGCGAGTTTAGTGGCTTGCAATGTTGACACTAGGGCTTGTTTTTGCTTAGTGTACACAGAGTGCATTGGCTTGCAATATCGGGTAACCGGTTTTCGTTGGATGGACAGTATAATGGGGTGCCCGGAATTATGTTAACTTATGTGTTTTCCTGACTTTATTCGCTTGCAGAGATCTGGTGCCGTTGCCCGGCTTGACCCCGGAGAACAACAAGCTGCTCTTCTACCGCCTGATCGACTTTGATGCGGATAAGGTAAACCATCTATAAAGAGAAATACAAAATCTTAACAGATATTGGAAAGTGACATTAAATCACTATGGATTAAAAGTCCCCTATAAAGGTGTCTAAAAGTATGCCAGAAGAACGTCCACTTTCGAGTTTAGGACACATTGTTGCTTACTTTGTGGCGTCTTTTTAGGTGATTTCGAAACTCTAGTGATATTTGAGTAAATTTTTACATAAGATCTTATTTTCTCATGGAGTATATCTATTTTTCCGGCAGTTCAACTTTACGGCTGCCATCAAGGTCTTCTTCATGGTGGCCGACTGCCGTTTTGCGACGGAGGACGAGGAGCGATTGTCGGATGGGGAGATACCCGTTTTCGACATGGCCGGCTATACGCTGCGCCACCTGACCAAAACCGCGCTGGGCGCCCTGCGCGTCTACATGAAGTTCGTCCAGGAGGCGCATCCCGTGCGGCTCAAGGAGATCCACGTGCTCAACTGCCCCTCGTTCGTGGACAAGGTGATGGCCGTGGTCAAGCCGTTCATCAAGGGCGAGGTCTTCAAGCTGATTCACTTCCATTTGCCGGGCGCGGAGACCCCGTATCGCCATTTCCCGCGCTCCATGTTGCCGGAGGAGTACGGCGGGGAGGCAGGCAAAATGTCCGACCTGAAGCTCCAGTGGATGCAGTTGCTCAAGGAGCAGAGGCAAGTACTTCTAACCCTTCTTTTAAAAGAATTTTGATCTGTAATGGTTACGTTTACTACTATTCCAGGGACTACCTAATGGACTCGGAAAACTGGCAGATAAACAAGGCCAAAAAGAACGGTCAGCGAAAGTCCAGTGATGCCGGAGTTACTAAAAGTCTACGCACCCTCGAAATCGATTAGTCGTCGTGCGCACAACTGTACCTTAATCATTGGGCCTTTGCCTATTTTAGCTGTCACATTCTTCAGGATTTTGCCAACGTGAATTGAGTTTAAATTGATTTTTAGCCGTTTCCCAACTGAATATTTATTGCAAATTATTTAAACCTAAATTTTACTAACTTTGCTTTCGGATTAAAAGATTTAGAATCTAGAATCCAGTTAGAGTTTTATAATCCCAAAATGGAACAGTTATCAGGAATGACTGGCAAAATTCAATTAGACTGGAGGCACTTTCGCCGAATCCTGTTGAATGTGAAAATCGAATTAGGCCCGAACATCTATTGTACTTTTTTTGTTTTGTTCTCGTTCCATTTCCCAGCTGGGCTTGGGTCTATGTAAATATATGCTTAAAGTGAAGGTTCTCCATATTCCGCACTCCACATTCCACACTCCATATATGCATATTCAATTTCACATAATTCCCCACCAGCGACCGCATCTTGGGTAATTGAATGCTCTATTGTGGGGAACGAACGGCCGGGGAAATGGAGACGGGATGGGTGTATATGGGGTATACATATATGGCATTATGACGCGCACAGAATTTCCATATTTAATGCAACAGCATAATTCCAATCCCTGCCGCTGCATTCGATGCCTGCGACTGATGCAATTAACTCGCCACAAAAAGGGACGGAAGGCGAAGGGGTAAATCTGGATGGTGTACACTGGGAAAAAACATTGAGTTTCCCTGGAGCATTATATCTTTCTAATTCACCAATTTTTAGTAATAGATGGGCTTGTGATTTTGAATACTCTGCAATGTTATTTTTGAATTATATAATAAAGTATGGAGTACCACACTTTGATTTATAAGGATGTCAAGATCCATTTATTTTTTTTACTAGGGAACTTTGTTCTTTAAAAAGACATTTTGTTCGAATGAATACTGAGCCTTCTGATACTAGTTGTACAGTGCATGAAACTGCCCTAAAAATCGGGCCAAATATATAGATGTTATGCGAGTGTGTGGGAATGCATGCGTATCTGTGTGTGATCTGGACGAGTAGGTGAGTGTGTGTGGGTGGGTGGGTGTTCAGGAAGTGGAAGTGGCAATAGAAGTGGAGCAACAGCAACAGCAAAAGCAATGCCACACCAATGTGGCACGGAAAGCGGAGGCCGAAGGACCCTTGAGGCATAATGCGCATATCGACACATCCGTTCGGTTGGCCAACCTGGCCACTGGGTCGTCCTTGTCCTCCTCGGCCACAATACTCAATCTGCAGTCTACAATCCGCAATCCGCAATTCGCAATCCGGACTCTGGACTCTGGACTCTGGACTCCCCCACAATCCACAATTCGCACTGTGACACTTGGAGTCGTGCGGCTGACACATTAAAGTGTGGCCTGGCAAAAAAGTGAGCTTACGTCCTATTCTCCATCATCTCTATGTGTACTATATAGCCCCCGTCCATTCTCCGTTTAGCTGGCCATTGCCGTCCATCCCCATGACATATTAGTCTTAATGCCGTGTTACACGTAAACAATTTAAGCAGATTCACTTTTAAAGATATCTTAGGCTTAGAGAATTTGTATTTGTTGGGATTTGAAAAGTATCTATGTCTAAAAGTTGGCAGATAAGAATAATCAAGGTTTTTTTATTTTGTATGTAAAATATTTTGAAAGTTTTGATGCTAGAGGTGTACGATATGGAACACATTCCTAATATCTCTACCCTAAGGATATAGAACTTAGTTTTTTAAGTTTTCGAAATATCAAAAAATATTATATGAATATGATATGATATGATTTGCTTTTCTGAGGTACACTTTTGAATAAAGTTATAAATCAAAAATTGTTTTCTTATCATTAACTAAGTGAGAATGGGGTTCTAAACAGGTCTTTCTCGCTGTGCATGGGCTTATATGTGTGCGTATTTTGTTTATATGCAAACACTGTCCTCCCTGTTACGTATTCCCCGATTTAACGCCACTTAACGCTCCGACTCATCCATCAGTGTGGTGCGTGCCACTCCCATTTTTGTGGGCGGTGGGTGCTGTGTGTGTGTGTGTGTTCTGGGACTTACACTTTTATCCAAAACCAGATGTGCACTGCATGCGATTGCATGCGATTGCATGCATGTACATGTATGGTAATCGAATTATGTGGCAACTCTGCCTTTTTGGGGGTTGCCGTGGGTAGTTGGGCGGTGTTGCGGGGGAGGATGCCTGCACACATGCACACATGCACACATGCACACATGCACAATGGATGTGGGTCGGTTGGAGGGTGGGCTTCAGTGAATACCCTTCATTTGGTTATGTGTGGTATATGCAGCCCTGATATCCCTAAATTCAGAGAGGTTTTAGCACAAAGTGTCAAGAACTGTACCACGTTCTATATTAATATATTAATAAAATATGTAAAAATCCCCTAAATCATTTAAAAACTATATTTTTATCCAAAAATTTAATAAGAATTTGTTTAATCTGGAAATCTCTATTAAAGCATTTATAATGCTTTTCTTAGAAATCACCTTCCCTTCTAAAGGCGCCAAAAAGTATGCTACGGTATATTTAAAGTCCAAAAGACCTTCAGGGAAATGCCGAAAGCAGACCGGTAGACAGCTTTTTAGGTGATCAAAAATCTCCAGAGTTTGCATAGAGATTTCATCCGGCTGGAAGGACCAAGAGCAGCATCCTTGCGATGACCAGCAGTCAACCCTTCAATTGCATTATGACTGCCAACACAATTAGGGCGTTCGGGCGATAGCCGAAACCTCGGCCCTGTCTGCTTTTTAAGTAACCGGGAAGTGGGTATAAATTATACATATTTGCACATGATGTTCAAAAAAGAAAATCAAAGTGCTGGGGGATGGTATATGGGGACGGGGACGGGGACGGGGACGGGGACTTTGTGGCCCATCAAAGACAGAGAGCGAGAGATCCTGCCAGACTTGACGCCCAAATTGATCAATTTTGCATTCTGCCACAACAATCGCAGCTGTAGGACGGGGGCGAATCGAGTGGGCGTGGCAGTGGTGACCCCATTAACATGCCCAAGCACAAGCCCCAAACCCAAGCCCAAAAAGCTTACGCTGCACTCTATATATGGGCTGCAGTTGGCCGAGGATTGCCCCCGGTTCCTCCGTCATTTCCTTTGCTTTTCTCCGTTTCTCTGTTTTCTCCGTTTTCCCTGCACTTCCCCTGCTTTTCCGGAAGAGGAAGAGCCAGAAGCTGGTAGGGCGGTAGGCGGAAAGGGGCAAAAACAGAAGCAGAAGCAATAAGCGAAATGTGCAGTCAACAATAGTCCGCCTGTCCACCGTGTTCGGCTCTCTTCTGAATATGAGTGTGTGTGTGTGTCGAAGTACAGTGATGCCTCAAAAGAAAACAAAATTTTCGATAAAATCATCGACTTCTTCTGTGAATGGTAAACTATAAGGTTTTGGTGACCCCGTTTTCAAAAAATAACTTCCTTTTGGGGATAGCTAACTCAAAGGAACCATAAGCGGTCACTCGTGTATTTACTTTTTTGATGACATTATCAGTAAGCATTACGCTGATTAGGACGGTATAAAACAGCTTAATCCAACTATTTTAAGACTTGTTATGTGCTCAAGGACTTGGTGACCCCAATTTTGTTATACTAATACTAATTTCATCTGTGAATAGTTTGCTCCGCAGTTATTATGAACACATAGACATGAAATCCCTTTGGCCAGCGACCACTGTACTTGGCTGTGTGTGCGAGAGGTCCAACATGTTGTTGTTGCATGCTCGTTGTCGTCGCAACACCAACACACACAAGTTGGCAGACCGTGTGTATACGTATAGGGCGGTTCGCAGCTGTAGTTGTTGGCCGGGTCGCTGTTCAGTTGAGTGACTGATAAGTTCAGTCGGCGTTCGTTTGGCGCCGAGAACGGTTATCGCGTCTAATCGAATTTGGCTTAAGTTCGCAGCAAATAGTCAGGCGAGAAAAAGAGCCAGGGAAATTCGCTGGGAAACCAGAGGATGCGGAAAAGCGTCGAAATTCCTACGAAAGATGTGTGATTGCGCCATCGTTACTTTTTTTCTGTGCTCGAGTGTTAAGCCCGGCAAGTGAACCAGTTTTGCCTCTGCGGTTTTTATCACCCCGGATTCCAGACTCCGGACTTCTGGAGGTATGCAATGAATTTCGCCTGCAGTGGGTAAGCCGCTTCTTAGCTGTTGCTCGTATAACTAGTCTGCCCGTGTGTCCTGCCAACTATATAGTTGGATATCCTTGTTCCGGCGAATGCTTGTTCAATTATGTAAGGTGGAATTCATGACTGCACAGCCTGTTACCAGGCGACGGCCATAAAAATCCAGGGGACCTGCTATTTACGGGGCGGGTTCTGTCCTGGCGAAAATAATAAATGGGAATGCAAGGAAAGGCTAGGGTTGAAATTTAAATACACATGTTGGCTTACTCTGAACGCTGAGGTCTTGAGAGCTGCAATTAAGAATTATTTTGCTTGTTATTAATTTTTATACCACCTCTAGATTAACTTTTTTTTTTGATTAGGGGCCTTGCATTTTCCATTTCTCAAGGTGATTGCGAAAAGGTCACAAATTGTTTTGGCAGTCCTTAATATTTTATCAACTTGCGAAAACAAAGCTTTAAATATTTTAGTAACTCTCAATCAATCTTTATTAAGCGATTTCTAATTTTGTTTTGTGAAATACGAATTTTCGGAAAAGGTTTTATATAGTAAATATTTTGAATATAATTGAAGGGACCTTCTACCAATTTAGCCAGCCCTAACTACTGAAGTTACGTATAACTCATTGATTAAAACGAAACTTCTGGGTTTCGGTAATTGTAACGGAATGATTTCCAATTAGTCCTTAATTACCATTACATTTTGGGCTTATCCCATACGTGTTGTGGCAGTCCCCGATAATTGGCGACCTCAGCGAATAACCCTAATGCCACCCCCTCTTAACCCACTGTGTATGTGTGCCATTACTTAACACCTACAAGCTGCCGCCAGTCGGCACGCCATTACACTATTACAGCAAAAGCAATAGCAATGGCAACAAAACGGGGAAGTACGAATAAAGGCGCGGGGGCCGACGGCTTTGAACTACCCCCAAAAGACTTTAACCTCGGTGAAGAACGAGAGGCGAGAGACCCATATTAGTCATGCCCAGCCCGACGGCCTCACGCCCCCCTTTTTGAGACCCCAGTCGAATAGAGGAGAACAGACCCAAACCGAAACGAACCCACACCTACATTTCCCCCATTGTTATTGCATGCTAATTCTCTTCTCTCAGTGCCCCACTCGAATTCTCGTTTCTTTCACATTATTGCTTTTGGCTTTTGCCTTTCAAGAAGTCATTTTCCTGCGACTGCCTGAAAGTATGCAGTGGAAGCGGTTTAATCGCATTTGGCACACAGGGAACAAAAATAAATACCATCTATAGAGCCGAAAAAACTGTGTTATACCAAAAGAGTATACCAGAAATGCAAGCACAGCTAGTGATCCTTTCTTTCTATCCAACATTTAACACATGTAGTTCGTTCAATTTTCATACATTGGTCCGTCGAGCCGGATTCGATTCTTACAATCCTAATATGATTCACAAAACTGTGTCATAACAAAATAGGTATACCAGAAATGCAATCACCACTAGTGATCCTTTCTTTCTATCCAAGTAATTAGTTAATTAATTTCTCATACATTGGTCCTTCAAGCCGGATTCCATTTTTAACGATTCTTAACGATTCTCCACCATATATGATATGATAGAAGACGCACATATTTTTGCGCTCAGTGTACTCAGTGTTCGCTGATGGGGGTGAACGGATCGGGGCTGCTTGGTCAGCATCGTCGGGGCTCCACTTTTGCGGCCAGACAAAGAAAAGTCACCTGTTCTTTGCTACCACCCGCCTGCTGGCCCCTTTTGCAGTTGGCCCAAATTCCCGGCGACAAGTTTGAATGAGTCAGCTCAACTTGGTTACAATGCACAATGTATAATGCATAATGAGAGGGAGAGTGGCGAAATCACTGCCAGCAGCAACGAGGTCCTTTCCCCCGGCCCCAATCCGCCCATATCCCTTGCACTGTCTGTGTCATTGACGCTTATCAAAAGCCACCGATCAAAGGCAGCGTTTTGTTTCCATTTTGCTGTTTCTGCTTCTCGCCTCCACCTGTCTCCCTCAGCTTTCCACCGCCGATAAGCATCGGAGAATCGGAAAACTCATGGAAACCGCACAGTGGGCTATAAATGGTAATGGATTTGCATTATACGTTTTATGTTGACAATGACTGCCTTCAAAACGGGTTTCTGCTGAAATCTCCAGAGCTTCGAATGCAATCAATTTAAAAGCAAAGAAGACGTTTAGATTTTTATTTGTGTGTTTGCCCGTTCTATAATAGTTACGATCCCATCCACTGTCACCTGTCTGCCCTCAGACTGTTTGCCCTTCCCTTTCCTTCAGTCTGGCCATTCTCTTGCCTCAGTGGCCACATCCTTTAAATACATACATCTATGCACGTCCATTGAACATCCTCATTGAATTTATTCTCATTGGCGTCTGGTTTTTTCTCCAGCTCTGTTAATCTCCACTACCCATCACCCACCAAACACCACCCACCACCCACTATTCACTATCCCCTATCCAAACCATCAACCCTCACCCCCAATGACAAACAATTTAGCTGGGAACGATGAGCAACGAGCGGGCATTAATAACTTTTTGCTGTATTTTAAGTTGGCTTTTCGTGCAGAGAAAGAAAACTTCTGCTGACTTAACGACTAGTGTTATTAATTAATCATTTTTTGAATGCAAAGCTTAAAAAGTTGGTCCTTCGAGCCGGATAATCTCTAGTGTTTTTTGTTTAGTACAAAAGTAAATAACGAAAAGTCTTAAAAGATTGTTTTCTGTGCAGCCAACACTAAACGGCCGCCGCCGTCTTTTGGATGCCACTTTTTGGGGCTTGCAGTGCCGTCAACCCTCCCCCCCCCCCATTTCCTCTGGTCCCCTTTTTTGTGCGCCTCTTCTTGGACAATTTATGAGGTCAATGAAATGCTTTTCCCGCCTGCTGAGCGCCTCCCGCCGCTCGCAGTGGGAAATTCTGCCGGCAACGACAGCGGCGACGTCTCCCATCGTCTCTAGCCGACGACCCCCCTTCACCACCAAAAGCCTCCACCCCTGGGCCACCAATGTCATTGGGGGCAATGTGTCTAAAGGCTTTTTCCCACTGCCTTTGGCCGCAGGCCATGAGCCATTTTCAGCCGAAGTTGCCAATTCACAGAGGGTGAAGAAAAATGTTTGAAGCCTAGGAACAAAAGAACAGAAAAAATGAGCATTGAAATTATTTAAAATTAAAAGAGATTAGATTGTTGAGTAATAGAGCTATATATGTCATTTATAGGAGTAAGCAGTGGTAATTATTATAATAAATATTCTCTTTAGCAGTTCATTGATGGCCAGCTCAATAAATGCAAGGAATTCTTAAGTTTCCCCAGTAAAGACAGCAACTAAACTAAAGTTATTGAGATCTAAGTCTGGGTCCTGTATGCCGCTAAGATTTGCAAATGTTTATTTAATGTTCGGCCAGACAAAGTTTTGTTTTCTTACTCCAATTTTTCTTTTCATAGTTTGGCCAGAGCAGCAAAGTTTCACTGGAAAGGCAAGAAATTGGGGGTTAGGCTGGTGGAAAAGTGGTGGAAAAAGTGTGGGTTGCTCAGGGTATTTTGTATATCGCCGGGAGAACGGTTCTTTAAGCTGTTTGCCAAAGTTGCGCGTTTATGCTGACATCCTTGTCGCCTTTGTGCACCCTCCTCCACTTTCTGGTGCTGATTCCATCGATTTTCGATGCTCCATCTGATCTGGGAAGGAATGACTGTGTTAAAGGCCATCGAGTAGCTTTAAGTGGTGGAAATCAGCAAAGGGGGGTTTCCCGAAAATACCCAACGTTTTGCCTTCCCTTTGGGACCAGTTGTTTTCTGTCTAAAGTCAGTTTTAATTTCACAAACAGGGGATATTTTCAGCCTACAGTTTGACCAAATTGCGATTGAAAAACCTCTAAAAAAAAATAAGGTACTGAAGTCAGATTTTTTGCAATAAATAGTCAGTGTCTTCGCCAGCATAATGTAATAAAATGTCACAGTGACGAATGTCATACCTAGTTCAACTCGACTCAACTCAACTTATAAAAAAGGCGAAAATTGGTCAGAATAAGGAGTGCCATACCTCGCTGAGCTCGTAATTAAATTCCCAATCGATTGGCGTTCAAACCTGAAAACTTTATTTTTTGACGATTTTTCGCAAAAATAGACGATGTTACCCTTATGAAAAATGTGAAATTTATTCAAAAAATAAATTTCCCGGAATGTGACGGGGATCGGAAGCCTAGGTTGTTAGCTGCTCAAAACAGTCGGTCTTTCAGCTGTGCGCCTTGTTTTAACCAAGTTACGACTGAAAAACCTCATAAAAATAGGGCACAGGTGGGCTGATTAAATCCAGGTGTATGTGCCATAAATATGTATTTTAAAAGGGTATCAAATATGGACGAAACAATAAAAGTAATGGTCCAAAAATGGAATGTCATACCTTGTTGAACTCGTAATAAAATTTCCAATAAATTCGCATTCACACCTAAAAAATGTTATTTTTGACCAATTTTCGCAAAAATTGATGATACTACCCCTTGTAAAAAAAGTGAAAATTTGCGAAAATTTTAAGTTATCGATATCAGTCAGAAAATTATTGCGATCAATTATCTAGCTTGTTAGCTGTTCAAAACAGTGCGTATTTTAGATTTCGGATCATTTTTAACCAAGTTACAGCAAAAAAGGTCTAAGAAAAATATCGGTTTTTCGCCAAAAAACTAGGATCCTTTTTTTCGACCCAAAAAAAATCTGTATTTTGGGCGAAACAACAAACGTAATTGTCCAAAAATGGAATGTCATACCTTGTTAAACTCGTAATTAAATTTCCAATCGATTGGCATTCATACCTAAAAAAATTTGATTTTTGACCAATTTTCGCAAAAATTGATGATACTACCCCTTGTAAAAAAAGTGAAAATTTGCGAAAATTTAAAGTTATCGATATCAGTCAGAAAATTATTGCGATCAATTATCTAGCTTGTTGGCTGTTCAAAACAGTGCGTCTTTTAGATTTCGGATAATTTTTGACCAAGTTACAGCAAAAAAGGTCTAAGAAAAATATCGGTTTTTCGCCAAAAAACTAAGATCCTTTTTTTCGACCCAAAAAAATCAGTATTTTGGGAGAAACAACAAAAGTAATTGTCCAAAAATGGAATGTCATACCTTGTTGAACTCGTAATTAAATTTCCAATCGATTGGCATTCATACCTAAAAAAATTTGATTTTTGACCAATTTTCGCAAAAATTGATGATACTACCCCTTGTAAAAAAAGTGAAAATTTGCGAAAATTTAAAGTTATCGATATCAGTCAGAAAATTATTGCGATCAATTATCTAGCTTGTTGGCTGTTCAAAACAGTGCGTCTTTTAGATTTCGGATAATTTTTGACCAAGTTACAGCAAAAAAGGTCTAAGAAAAATATCGGTTTTTCGCCAAAAAACTAAGATCCTTTTTTTCGACCCAAAAAAATCAGTATTTTGGGCGAAACAACAAAAGTAATTGTCCAAAAATGGAATGTGATACCTCGTTGAGCTCGTAATAAAATTTCCAATCGATTGGCATTTAAATCTTCAAACTTTAATTTTTGAAAAATTATAAAATTATAAAAAATGAGAAAATTGGACAAAAAATAAATTTCCCAAAACGTGATGCAGATCGTTAGCCTTGGTTGAGAGCTGATCAAAACAGTCGGCGCAGTAGCTGTGCGCGTTGGTTTGACCAAGTTACGGCTAAAAAACCGCTAAAAAATAAAGAATTTTTGTTAAAAAAAATTGAGTCCACATTTTTCGGTAAAAAAAACTCGCTGAGCTTGTTATCAAATTCCCTATAGATTGACATTCAAACCCTAATATATGTTATTTTCCCATTTTTAGCAAAAAATAAATAAAATAATCAAAAATTGGTATACAACTTAAGCACTTTACAAACATATCTCAAACAAAATTTTATCAAAATCAAAAATCTGGTATTTTATTCTCCCAAATAAGAAGCAAGTATTTACGCTTGAGTTAGAGCAATTTTAATTTAATTGTAGTCTCCATATCAATTTTTATTGAATTTGATTGAAAGCTAATTGATGAACCTCATATTTCCATTTGGGTAGTTAATGCATACATATCATACATGTCTGTATCAATTAGGAGACTTAAAGTACAAACTAAAATAATGTGAAGTATGTGTAACAAATGTTTTGTGTATGTGCAACTAATTGGAATAAATGCAGTATTGGTTGGCAGAATTATGAGAAACTTTTGCATGGTCAACAAAAAGTGAAACACAACATGTACATTGTACATAAATCGGGTTTTTTCTAATAAAGTGTTTTACAACCAAGGGAAACTTTTATAATTGCGAAGGAAAATGATTTTCAAACGCTACAAAACATGCTTTTACGGACATTTCGTATTTATTTATGAGCCTTTCGAGTGAGATTCATTGGTGTTTGGTTTAATTAAACCGCGCAGTTACTTATATTTACAACTAATTGCGTTTAATCTACCACTGTTTGTGTCAATTCTGTTAAAATTAATCAAGAGAATTTCGAACATATTTGCATTGCTTGTGGTGGGCATTATGACTAATTAATTAGTTGCATGTTTGCATTCACATTTGGAAGGCACTCAGGCCCCTGGTCTTTGCACATATTTGCGAGTATAATCCTTTGAAAATCGGGTGAATTATTCATGCCAGGTACTTGGCCTTAGGTTTTCAGCTTTTTTGAGCTTTTATTCACTTTTTTATCACAACCTGACACTGATGAGTGCACTCATTTGTATTCATTGCCCCTGAATCTATGGAAAAATTACGAAAAATTGCTGCTAAACGTTTTAAATTTAGAACCGCGCCAACAGAAGGTCAAATGTGGGGCGGTGGGTGGGGTTCAAGGCTGTCGGGGGGTTGGTTGGATTTGTTGGATTGGTTGGGTGATTGTGGAAAAGGGCGCTGACAAGTTTATTAAAAACTACGTCAACATTGGAATGGGTATATGTGTGTTCGTGTTTGGGGCCGACGTTGAAATGGCTTTAATCGCATTGCCAAACCAATGACAAACACTAGCTAAAAATATCGATGTCCCCTGTGGATTGGTTAACTAAAATGAAATACCTACACCCAAAAAAACAGAAATTTATGATTTAATACCAATTGCATTAAAAGTATACATCAGGCAGTATTAAAATTAAAGTAAATTTTCTAGAAAAAATATATCTAGAATTTAAATTTGTGGTATTATTTTTTAACCAATTAATTTCAATTTAGTGCTTTGGATAGTATTAATATAATACTCATCTTATCGATACTAAACAACAGTTGCTTTTCTATGACTATTTTTGTCTATGTCTAGTTAAAGCCCTTGAGTTAAATCACCGAATGAAAATTCTAGGAACCCATCAAATCACGAAGCTTTTATGGCAGCGTTTATTTAGTCAGTGAGCGAAAGTTTGAGTGAATATTTCAGGGATTTTGTTCGATTCAAGCCGTTCAAACATTTGCTTAGATGAACATCAAACAATTCCCTTTGATTCGCCATCGGACTGCCGTGAATATTGTACACTATATATCCGCATGACGATGAATAATGCACCGAATTCATTTCGACTCGCAACTCCCCAATCAATATGCATCCCCCACAGGACCACTCCCACTTTTTTTTGCACTGCCCCAATAACCAGAACAAACTGCAGAATAAAAGTTCCCATACCCATGCAACCCCCCCCCCCAAAAAAAAAAGAAAAAAAAAGTTTATAGCAGGCAGCTGCAATAATCATGTTTGCGTCAGGATGTGTGTGTTTATATACACATACTCGTACATACATATATATATGTGGTTCAAGGATGCTCGAGTTTTATGTCCTATTTCTTTTTTTTGGCCCCAGAAAATCGAGGGAGAAAAGGAAATATTGTCTTTTGTGCATTAAAATGAAAGGTAGCAATTGCTTTTGTGATTTCGGAAAATCTGAAATAACAGATTCCAAGTCCTCAGTTATTTAAAATCACAAAATATTATGCTCTTCAAGGGATATATAAGCTCTTATTGGTTGTTGGTTAAAGTTATAAAACAACTTCTACCAGGGAGACGAGAGGGATTCGATGAAGTCATAGAGCTTGGTTACAACAATGGATTTTAGTTGATATTTACTTTGGTCCTGCGTCATCTGAGTGACACAATTTAGTTTGGAAAGGGAATCTTCTATGGTTTGTTGTAATAATGTTTCGGAAGAACTCACACAACTTGAGGTCATAATGAGGCAACATTTATGAGCTTGTTCAGTCTTAGATCAACCCCATTAATTTTTATATGATTTTATTAATTTCACTTCAATGCCTTAATTGATATACATATAGGGCACAGGGCAATTCGAAATTGCCGTAGTACACAATGCCAAGCGTAAGAATATTGGCACTGAATATTTAATGGCGAATTTCCCGGAATTACATGACAACCCTGGATGGCCGTGTCTTTAAATATTCATCAATAGTTGATGTTATTATTTCACTTCCGGTTCGCTTGCGGCTGCCACGCGGTTCAATGAACTGCTGACACGGAATACAGCCCCTTTTTACCACCGACCTCCCTCTCTGCCTCGCTCTTCCCGCGCATCTGTCTCGCTCGCTCGCACTGGCGAATAATTCGCTGGCAATGCAGACACGTATTGCCTCATATATATTTAGTTTGGCTTATTTTTTCCAAATGATTCCCCAATGATTGATGGGGCCCAACGCGAGCCACAGTAAAAGCCAAGTGATATGTGATTGCAACAGTTTTGCTGTAGTTCTTCCTGCACTGCAAGAAACTCTAATCGGTTTATTAGGATCCCAAGAAATAAAGAAATGTATAATCTACGTTTGTTGCATTCTTTAGAATAATTTATTCACCTTTGACAAACAAAAAGTTAACAATGATTTAAACATAACGCTTGCTGTAAATATTTAGAGCTGGATCAGCTTGCCGAAGCTTATCGCTCTGTTGGCGCTATAATTCCCAACCAGTTATAGCGCCCCTTTTTGTGTGTTGCCATAATGTCGAGTGTTAGACTTGTTGAACTTCAAGCCGACATGAAAGCTTTTTTCATAAGGCCAATCTTTGTAAATATTTATGAACTGTGATAATTGGCATTGGAGGTTTTTTCCAGTGCAACATTGTTGCCATAAGCAATTATGAAAAGCCACGCCGAGAAAGAAATCGTGCCAACGGCCTTCTAATGTGAGTCTCTTTTTTCTCTTGTTCTTTCTTCCTTAGCTGGTGCTCCATTTAAAGGATATTCCATGCCGATGCCGGAATAAATAGCATCGAGGAGCGACACTGGAAAACGGTTACGGAATGGATGCGCGCCGGCAGAAACGACTTGGCCCAGCGCCAATTGCATCCTTCGAAAAGTCATTCGAGGACAATGCCACGACAAATGCACCGCAGCAGAGCCAGCACCAGCAGGAGCAACAGCATCAGCATCCTGGCCATGCGGCGGTGAGTCCTTCAGCCCAGTTACCAAACACCCTACAACAGGGTACAGTGTAACCCTCCCCTTGTCAAAAATTGTATTGCATTCAATGAATATAGTCATTACAGCTTTAGAGTTTAAAAATATTCAAATAGGTTGTGTTAAAATGTGGATGGTAAAACTCATTAGGTCTTATGACACCTGTTTTTTTTTAATTTTATAAAAGTTTTTTTTTTTATAAAGTTTTAAATTTTAGAAACATAAAAAAGGGTTTCCTAATATTATGAAAGAAACAATTCATAAGCCATAAGTAATATAAGACACCTTATCCTTTTTTTTTTTTTTAAAAAGTCTATAAAACCCTGAGAAAAAAATCCGACAGCTAAACAAAATGCTATGAACATATATGAAGTCCTGTTTGGGTTTCCAAGACCTTTTAAAATACATCCTTTCAGTAAGTCAAAAATCATGCAAGTGTCATATTGAGGGAACACCGTAGCTGTTACTAGCTCATGGCACATGCACATAATGCAGGGCTTAAATTAATTAACCAAAACATGAAATCAACTAAAGCGTTACTGGGTCCTGTAAGCTTGGCCAAAGCTTTCCGCTCTCCAAAATATGGGTGTATAAATGGGGGTGGCAGTGGGGGTGTGGGGTCATAGGGGTGCAAAGGTTTGGGGCTGTATGCCGCAATCATGCAAATGGCCACTTAAAAGGCAGGCCGTCAGGCCAAACGCTTGTGGCTAATAAACAGAACGAACCTTAAACGACAGAGGGCAGCAGAAACATCGAAACAACCAAAATTTTGAAGCTATACCCGGAGACACGCGTCGCAGATCGGCGGCTGCAGACCCGTGAATTATGGCCCGACTTTCTCAAGTGCTCCAAATAATGTTATTTGGCCAAAGGGGGGAACAGTGAGGGAAAGGGACATAGGACCAGGCATCAAGAAGATGTCCTTGCTTGTCTCAGTTTGTTACCTGAATTATTTTTTTTATTTTATTTTTTTTATCATTTTATGCTACAGTTGTTCAGATTTTAAAATTGTGATATGTTAGTTCTATCCAACATTTTAAATAAAGTTTAAACACAGGAAAAAATTTAGAAAATATAACCAGATAAGCTAGGTTTTTTTTTTTGTCAATTGAAAAATGAACTAAGCTTTTCAATAGTTTGCTTGTGCAAATTAGTTGAGCTCATTCTCCAACCGATATGATAACAGTTTCGCTGTCAATCCCAAGGTGTACCCATTTATTTGTTCGCCGGTGTATTCCCCGTCGCAGTCGCACCCACACACACATGCTAAGTTGACTCTTGAAGCTTCGCAGGCGCCACAGCTGAGTCCTTTGAGCTTTCCGGCCTCTCTCTGTCCATACCCCCAACCCCCTCTTTCCGCTATTTTCCTCCGGCAAAGCTTTCGAAGCGAATTGAAGCGAGAGAGAAAGAGAGGGAAAAGGGTGCGGAGGGGGGAGAGGAGAGGCAAAGGAAAACGGCGAAGCTTTCGTCGCATTCCCATTCACATTTAACGCTAGCATACTTTTCGGGGCAGTTCGACGCTGGCGCTGCGTGCGTGCGGTCCAACGGTAAACGGTGCTCCTGAGAGCGAGAGAGAGAGAGAGCGCGTGTGTGTGTGCCAGCCAGCCAGTCAGTCAGACGGAGATAGCACTAGCCGTGAGCTGAAGTGAGCAGCCAACAGATAAATCAAATAACGAATGAATAGAAGGCAGTCGCAAAAAAGGAGCAGAAATCACACTTGCTGGCATTTAGAATTCAACTTTTTTTTCCTGTGCAAATTGATGCAAAATTAATAAGGACAAGTAATACACACGCACGCACACGTGGAGAGGACTTTTTGGGACCGCGGTGAGTGTGTGCGGGTGTGTGTGAACAACAAACAGAAAGCAAAGCACGCGGCTCTCTCTTATCCACTTTCTGAAACCTTCTCGCCCTCCCCCTCCATTTCTCGCTGGCTCGCTCTCTTTTCCTTAAGTTGCTTTTTATTTAACTTTTAATTAATTTAATCACACATTTGTGTGACAGCCTCTCTGCTGGCTCTTCTCTCCCTCTCTCTCTCCCTCTCTCTTTTGCCTTCTCTTTCGTCTCCTCCTGCACCTCTTTCTCCCCTCTTCCCTTTTCCCATTCGTATGCCCAGAATTATGTTACGATTTGTCCCAAAACACTTGCCCATATTTTCTGCCTTGCCTTTCAAAAAAAAAAGAATAAATATACCCTATTTTCTCTTCTGTACACCACAAAAACAAAAGGCCAACATTTTGGGAGAGGGGTTTTTTTTTGGGGGTTTCGGAGTTTTGGGAAGTTTTGGTTGGTGGTTAAAGAAATCACATGTGTTTTAGGGGATATGGTGATATGGTGTTTTTAATGGGGATGACAAAAGTTAAAGTTCATGTGTTTTAAGCTTTCAAGGTAATAGAGATATTTTTTAAGATTATTGGGTTTCACGGTTCTTAAGGGTAATTCTTCTTAAAGATATTTCGGTATTGTAAAGCGGTTTTCTGATATTTGGTCATTACAAGGCTTTAACAGGCTTACAAGTTCTTAGTAGAGCTTAGAGATGAAATGATGTTGCGCTGAAGACCCTAGAGAATGGGGACCCTAGATGGTGGACCCCTATTTTTCTTGCCGCACAGCATGCTGGGGGCCTTCAATTTCGCAAATCGTTGTGTAGCTGCTAGCGCCAACTTTAAATTAATTTGTGGCCCCAAGGTCCCGCAGAGACAATAAACGATACACCCCATACCCAGCCCCCGCATTCAGGCGCCATGTGTCAATCATCCAGCCCCGAGCAACTATATATCTATATGTATGGCTCCGCTCATCCGCACCGCTCTTTATCACCATTGCCACCCAACCCGAACCCCAACCCCACTTTTTGCGTGTGAAAGGATTTCTCCTTGAGCGCTTTTAATGCGAGTGCAGCAGCATCACAGGAAAAACTGCAGCTAGCAGCTAGGGTGGTGGCATTGCGAAAAACCCCCGTCTGTTGCTCCAGTAAACTTAGGACCCCGACCCCCCAGTTCCAGTCCCACAACATCCCCCCCCCCCTTCAAACAGCTTGAAAACTTAAAGCCCGCTAATGGCGTTAGCCAAAGACTTTGGGCCCCAGACAAGAAAGGCGACAAATAAAGTCACCTGGCTGCTGAAAGTTATTATCTCGTACCTCCGATTAGGAGTTATTTAAGCCAGTTTTAAGGAAGGAGGAAACTGCCAACTGAGGAAAGAAATTACCGTTCCCATGGGAACACATTTTTAAAGGAATCCCGTTGTAGTTAAATTAATGTTATGTAAAAATCATAAAATATGAAAATCTGAAGCTTAAATCTAAGAGATATGCAAGTTCAGTTACATGGTCAAAGGACTACCGAGGTATCTCTGTAGAAAACCGAAATTACATTGAACGCAATAGGTCATTGCTTATAAGTGGCCTGAATAATTCCTAATATAAATACCCATTTGTCATTTCATTACCGGGAAAATTGCCAAAGGGCAAGGTATCTGCTCTTTGAGTTCCTGGGATTCCGGCCAGATGGTCAAAGCACGCCCAAAAGCAATTTCGAGACCCCGTGCAGGTCATTCTTTAATGCAATACCAAAATCAAAGCCCTTAAATTATGATCGCGGCCAATAACAAGAAAGCCTCAAGGTCATGAAAACCCAAAGGACAAGGAAAATCATCGTTTCATTTAAAATGCACATGTGGGAATAAGCAAAAATGAAAAGCGAAACGATGGAAAATCCGCAGAGAAAGCGCCGCGGGCCAGCTCCCCAATACACACAATGTATGTATATAGAGGAAACTGTGTCAAAAGCGTTTGATTTCAATTTGCGAAATGCAATCCGAGGGGAGACTTTTGTGGGTGGTGGCGAAAGTTAGCCCCCAATCGCAATGAGCCAGCGGATTTCCATTCTACTGGGTTTTCCCCCGGGTTTTCCGTAATCTAATGTAATGTAGGGTCCCCCCTTGAAATCCCAGCGGTAAACAATTAGGTTTCAAACTTGATGCATTCCATGTCCCTACAATTCGTAGATATAATGCACAGATACAAAAAGTATATGCACTTACTGGATACAATTTAACAGACTTATAGCCATGAGCCCGATTTCTATGCTAGCTTTTATGATAACAGCAAATAGCCGAATTCCTCTACCTACTATACGTAAAGTTCTATGCAATCTTCTTTGTATAAAGAGCTTTATGTGTCAGTTTGCATAAATTTGCAACTATGTAAATTGCGGACAACACTTTTGGGCCAACGTTTTAATCTGCAATATAGTTGCAGAAACCGAGCAAACTGGCAACCAAAGTACGAGCCCAGCTGAACAAAGTGTCAATTGTTGTTGCAACTATATGTCAAAACGCACTTTTTGACAGCTCAAGGTGACAGTTAGTACAGTTTTTGGGGACTATGTATATTTCAGGACTGCCTTTGGCAATTTGTGGTCCACTAAAATTAGTTAGAAATGTGTGAAGGTTCTTCGATTAAGATATTTATTAGATCTATAGGATTATATATGGTTATCAAGTAGTAACACAAGTAACAAGTATTGGTAGAAAGTGTCTATCAAATTTTTTATGATTATAGTTTAAGATATTTTTATATAATTCATTTTTATATTTTAACTACTGTTTATTTTAACGTTACTTCTTATTATAAATGAGATGTTTTTGTATTTTTCTTTTTAGATGATGGAGCAAAGTGTGCGAAACCAGACAACGATGTCGACGACGACGAATCGCAATAGAACCGCCGGCGGCATAGAAGCAGCCAGCATAGCCGCATCCACATCCGCAAGTGCAAATGCAGCCACCTCCGCATCCGCATCCGCATCCGCAGCATCTGCAGCATCCGCATCCACCTCCTCCTCCTCGTCGTCATCGGTTTCATCGGCCACTTGCTCGGCCACGATTGTCCAGGCGAAACAGCGACCTCCGCCGCTGAAAACGGCGACGACAACGGTGACCACCACTTTGGTGAGCAGCAGCGAGGGCGGTCAGCCCATCCCACCCACCGCCCATCCAGGTGGCGGTCCGGGGGGCAGTGGTGCGGGCGCGGGCGCAGGGGGTGGTACTTATCGCGGTGCCACCCTGACCACGCCCTCAACGCCCCGCATCGAGCTAAGTCGCGCCTCCAGTTCGTCGCATCACGAGGAGGACAGCCGGGAAAGCAGTCCGGAAAATGTATTCGAGCAGGTGGGTCCAAGGATAACGAACTCCCTCTTCAGGTGGGGCATAAGGTATAAGCCCAAGAATACTTAGACTTTGGAGGTTTGTCGACCCCCTATTTGAGCAGAGCTTAAGAATAATTTCTTTTATAGCCTGGAGGTCCTTTAACCTCAAAGAAGGATCAGCTAGTTTCAATTAAAAGAATATTCTTCCAATTCCAAGGGATAAGTCTTTTTCCAGTTTCAAGCAATTTTACTCCTTGAAATCCTATTTAGGTAAAGCATTACACTGAAATTGAACGATAACTTGTATTAAAACCCCTAGAATTCACGGGCTAATACCTTATGTCCCACATAGTCAAACAAATTGATATCTTTCCATCTCTTGTGGGTGGTTAGGGCTTAAGTTCTCGGGAGGCGAGGTATCATCTGGTGCTAATTATGTTGTACTTTGCTCTTGTTTGCTTCTTTTTGGATTTGTGTACCTGTTTTTGTCGCTTTTTCCATTTAAACATCAATCAATCTATCCTAACCATTCATCGATACGTATATCATCGTATATATATGTGAACATCTGTCTCTTTCTCTGTCTGTAACACTCTGTGATGCGCTCGCTACCCCTTGCACACACACACACCCCCTCTTCAACCCCTGACCTATAACCTAAAACACGTACCTACCTACACACCGAAAAAAAAAAAACAAAAATCCCGACCGAACCACAAAACGAATCCTGCACACAAATTGGCTGTTGATTTGTTGATTTCGTTTCTGTTTTCTGTTTTCGACTTTTTGCTCCACTCCCTTAACCACCGTGCATGCTTCTTAACCCCCATCCTCACCTGACCTGACCTCCGTCTAATCCCCAACGAATAAACCAAATCGAAAAACAAAAAATCAAAACAAACAAACTATCGCTCTGACAAAACGAACTGCTCGACTCGATGTGTGTGTGTACTGGCTGGTTTATGTGGTTGAACTAATGCTCTGAAGGTCGGCACTGGCACCCTACAGGAAACGATTGGCCTTGGCTTTCGGGAGGACGGCGCCCTCGAGCTGCGCAGCTCCACCGAGGAGCTGTACTTCATGGATGCCGAGCAGAAGAAGGAGGAGCAGGAGCGGATCCAGCAGCAGCAGCAGCAGGTGAGAGCAGCGGATTGCAAGAAATCGAAAAAATGATCGAAACTTATCGAACTGCACTCGATAAACACACAATCCATTCGATAGGAACAGCCGATTAGGTAGATAACAGATAATTTGATCGGTATCGCTTAGGTAGATAACAAATAATTTTATAGGGATAGCAAAAAATATAAAATTTCAGTATCGATACTTATCGAAAATCACACGATTAATACACAAACCATTCGATAAGAAAAGCCGATTGAGAAAATAAATATATATTTCGATTTAAAAATCGATGTATGTAAGGATATGTACTTCCAGCAGCGATAACTATCTGAATTCCCACGATAAATACAAATTAAGTTGCTTTATTTAGACAAATAAGATCAATAGATGGTTAAATATTCTAAACGATTGCGGTATTTCTAACCACCAGGTATTAAACCCGTACATTAGATAGCAAAGTCATTTTGAGGTCCTTAATTATTAACCAATGACCTTTAAAGATTTAACAACGTTTGTTTACCGCCTCATTTCGTTCCTTTTAAAAAATAACGATTCTATTAAACACATTCGCGAGAAGGAAGCTCGTTATTTTTTCAAGTTGCTTCGACATTTCCTATTAAACAAGCGGATGGGCGTGACATTGACGGGGCAAAGAGGTCTGGGGGGGTCAGAGGAAAAGGGGAGCCGGATGGGAGACAGTAACCGCATCGCAAGTTGAATTAATAATGCAAAATTGCATTCGAGTGGCTGGGAAGTGCAGCAGCAGTGGTGCCATCAACGGAAATGGGCGGGCGGATGGACGAGTAAGCACCGAGTGACAGCTGACAAGCGTAGCCACCCGACAAAAACCCAGAGACCCCATAGACCCCCAAGGACCCCACCCCCTGCACTTTCCCACTGCAGCCTCAATTTCCTCTCCCCAGTTGCGATTGTTTGGCAAAAGTTTAGTCCTCCACTCGGGCAAAAGTTTGTGGGAATTATTTACCCCCCGGACCAGTCAGTTTTCCCCGGGAGAAATGAGTAACTCTGTCAGCTGGGCGAGAGGCGTCCAACTTATCAATTGCTGGATGGAGAAGCCCGGGGAGATGAGGTGAAGGCTCCTGGTTAATTGCAAAAAGTTGCAATTGATTAGTCAGACGCGTGACTGCGTTAATTGGGCCCCAAGGAAAGCTGTAATTAACTGAAGGCCGTTGCTAAAGGGAGTTTCGTATAAAATATCATCGATATTAAACTAATTATCTCCAATTATTAGGAATCTGAAATCTCCTTATGGTTTTGAAACCATTTAAAAGGCGCCAGAAAGTGTGCTTCGAAAAGCATGCGGCACTTATCCAACAGATTTCGCAATAAAGAATATATTGTAGCATACTTATGGACAGTGGTTTTAGACTTTACATATAGTTAACAACATCTCAAAAGAGTGGGATAATTACCTCTTAGATTAGCGTATCAGCATATCTGTCACGAAGGAAACAAAACCCATCAAAAACAAGAAAAGGTAAAAAGACTACAAAAACGTTTGCTAATTAATTAGTTAGCAGAAGCAGGTCGAACGAAAAATCTGAAAACCTGTCTAATACGGTCCATTCCCCAACGGCAGCCGAAATGCAATTCCATCTCCATTTCCCTGTTTTTCCCATTTTCCACTGGCGCTTCTTTTCTTTGTGCTGCCCGCTCTGTTTGCCTTGGTTGATTGGCAGCCGCGGGAAGTGAGTCCAGATTGAAGTGCCGCGATTGACGTGGAGCCGAATGGAATCCCATGATTGCCAGCGGACCAGTGTCCGCTTCTATTTCCTCTTTTCAATGTGTGCATTGCGGAAAATGGGGAAATGGTTCCCCCAGTTCCAGTGCACTCTGCCTTCCTCAATTTTCGATTTTAGATCTTCATTTAGTGTCCATTCTACATATGCTCACAAGCCTAAGTCTGAGATAACTATTGTATTCATAGACTTTAGATTTACTCCGAGATTTTTGAAATATTTTCAATTAACCTAAGGAAATACCACATTTAAATATCACTGATAAATTTATTGTTTATTTATTTTGAACGGAAAAATAGTTGTGTTCCCATTGTAGTGTTCTAACCTTCGTATTTTTGAATTCTATGCCAATATTGCACAATCTTCTATATTTCCGTCCTGCATTTATTGTCACTCTAACGTTTGACAGACTTCTCCTGTCTTCGCCACCATTCCTTTCCAGTCCAGAAATCATCTTTATTAGATACTGTAATATATTTGATATACTATCTACTTTAGAAATTCTCTTCCTATTTAAAATCAACAGCCCCAGACCTCTGGGTCTTCAAGTAATATCCTTTCTCCACCGTAGTCTCACTTTTCTGGTTTATTGCTTACTGCAGCGTTTGAAATTTCACGTCAAGATTATAAATCATGGTACACAATATACGCAGGTATTTCATTAAGTTGAAGTGACATGGTCTCCCACCACCACCACCACTCCTTGTGCCACTGCATCCTTTGACGACCGTGTCCCCCTCTCTACACTCCCTCTATTCGCAGGCCAAGCGCTCGTCGCCGCACATCTTCAAGTTCGACGACCACCAGAGCTACCTGCAGCAGCACCAGCGCAAGGATTCGGCCAGCTCGGAGGTGGCCGCCCTGCTCTGCATCTCCGGTCGCACCAGCCGCATCTCCAGCGTGGGCAGCCAGGGATCGGCGGTGAGTCGCCTCTCGGCGATATCGGGTGTCTCGCGCTCGCCCTCGCCGCATCGCATGCTGCTGGAGACATCCTTCTGCGGCCCCAAACCCGTCGAGCTTGGAGCCGGTACTACCGGTGTTGTCAGTGGTGGCGGTGGTGGCAGTGGTGCCTCCACGGCAGCCAGTTCCGCCCACAGTCAGTCGGCGGAGGGAATGCCAGGTGCCGGAACAGTGGCGGCAAATGCTGCACTGTTGGAGCAACTCCTCTTGGCCCGGAAACATGATCCCACCCAGGCGGTCCTCGCCGAGGGCATCAAGGTCCTGCCCCCCGCTCCAACGGCAGCCGCTTCAAGTCGCAGCCGGAGCAGGCAACCAGCCAGTTCGATGGCTAACGGGGAAAGGATGGCAGAGAAGGAGCCCAAGACGAAGGCCACAATTGGCGCCCAACGCAGAAGCACCAAGAGCCCGGGTCAAATGGTCGTGGGCAAGACGGCCAGCGGAACGGAGTACATAAGGATTAATCTGCGGCCGGATCACATGTACAGTGACAAGGGCATCGCCTCCAATGAACGGGTGGTGGAGGCACCCAATCAACTGGCACCGGTTTACTCCAAGCCCGCCTCGCTGAGTTTGCAGGGTGGACCCATCGAGGAGCACCGTCTGACCCCCACGGCAAGTCCCAAGCCAGGCCGACGACTGGCCAGTCGCTCACCCTCGCCCGCAACTGGCGGAGGAGCAGGAGGCGGAGGAGGAACAGTCTCCCGCAAGAGCTCCTTCAGCTCACTCTTCCGGCTGGGCAAGGACTCACCGGATTCGCCCAGGGAAACGGCTCGTTCGCGTAGCAAAAGCAAAGAGCGACCCGCAACCGCCTCGGGTGGATTGGGCGGAGAACGTGGTGGCGGAGGAGGAGGAGGCGGTGGCTCCCAGAATGTGACTCCCAGCAAGCAAAAGTCCGTATTGGCCATCTTCAAGCCAGGAAAGAGGGGTAGCCAGAGCAGCAAGAGCTCATCGCCGATAGAGTCCAGTGTGGAGCCAGTTCCACCGCCACCACCACCCGCACCCGGATCAGGATCTGGGTCCGCCAATCGCAGTCGCACTCCCGCCGGATCTCGGCCAGGAAGTCGCCTGCGCTACTACGACGAGCCCGTGGAGGGGGTCATCCATATACCGCTGCACACGCCGCCCGAGGAGCGGGAGGCTCGAACCCTGCTGCAGGGCATCCAACAGCTGACCCATGCGGCCCAGGCCAGCATGGATCCCTCGCCGCTGCCCACCCACCGAGCTCCACCGCCCGCATCCGCCCAACCGGTGGTGGCCTCCAGTACCCAGATCACGACCACCCAATTGGCGGCCGCAGCAGCTGCACTGCGTCCGGTGGCCCAGAGGAGGGTGGCCCAACGACCCGATCTGGATGCCATACAATCGCTGCCCAGCCAGGAGGATCCACCCGGAATAGGTGCCTCGGGGGAGGAGCAGGCGCTTCAGCCGGCGGAGCAGGCCAACTGGAGCCTGGAGGTGCAGCGGCACAGTTCGCAGGACTCGCAGGAGACGACGGCCGAGTCGGTGGGCTCGGTGGTCAGTGCCCGGGCCGCCAATCTCGCCCAGCAGCGGGAGCAGGCGGTGGCGGCGGCCATGCAGCGATTGCCCTCGGTGGAGAGCACCCAGAGTGCCTGCGAGCCGAGACTGGTGCACACGGTGGCCACCGTGAATCCAGCTCCCAATCCGGATGCGGAGGCGGCGGCCAAGGAGCGAAGGCGCCTGCTGTTCGCCACTCGCCTGGGCTCCGGCAGCCAGGAGCAGCTCTTCTCCACCCAGTTCAGTATTTCAAAGACCGAGAGCCAGTCCAGCCAGCTGTCGGAGCAGGTGGAGCACTCTGGTTCAGAGACAACGACGGAGGGATTGCAGCGCCAGGGAACCGTGATCCGGAGAGTGGAGGCGACCTCCTCCTCCACCGGCCCTCCGCCGCCGCCACCGCGGGGAGTCTACAGTTCGGAGGAGGAGCAGGGCGGCGGCGGCGGAGGAGGAGCCGGTGCGGTGGTGATGCGCTCCAAGCACAAATCGCGTCCCAGTTCGGAGGACGAGGCTGCTCCGGCGACGGCGGCTCCAGCGGATCTGCGCCACTCCCGCTACCTGGAGAACTTCGATGTGCGCCGCAAGCTGCACGAGAATCTCACGGAGGCGGAGTTGGGTCGGATGGCCGAGTTGCCAGGTGGTCAGGTGCCCATACCCAGGAAGCCCAAGCGACAGAGTGTTGCGGAGTCAAGACGTAAGTGATCCTGATCACCCATCTCTGATTCTGTCTATCATTTGAGACCTCCTTCTTTCAGGTGAAACCACTAGCTACAGTTCTGGAACTGCCACGCCCACCACTCCCACACCCACCGCAGTGGGTAGTGTGGCTCCAGCTAGGCAGCCACCGAGCTCTGTGACCACTCCCACAAGCTCAGGAGTTCCAGTGACCACGCCACCCGCCTCCGCCGCTGCTCAAGCTTCCACTTCCTTTGCGGCTTCCCCGGGCAGCACCTTCTATGAGCCACCCAGCACTTCCTACAGGGATCCAACCGGCACTGGCCATAAGGAACCACCAAGCACTTCCTTCAGGGATCAAGTCATCACTTGCCGTCACGATCCCCTGACCTCCAGCACTCCGGATCCCATGGCAATGACCTCCCCGCCACCGGAACGTCGTCACTCGCAGTCGACGGATGAGCATGAGCCCATTGAGTCCTCGGAGAGCGAACGGGACTCTGACATGGCCGGTAGCTCCTCGGTGACCACTGCCGTCCCGGCGGGCGCCGAGGCGGGCGGTCGCCGGCACCACAACTTTCCGCGCAACGTGTGTGTCATCGAGGAGCACGAGAGCACTGGTCTGGTGTCCCAGGAGTCGTTCGAGGACGAGCTGCCCTACATACCCACCACGCTGCCCGAGGAGCGTGCCCAGGGTGTGCCCATCATCCCCATGCGGGAGCGGGCCAACATGGAGCTCAAGACATGTCCGGTGGACAGGCCGAGATCCACCACGCCGCTGAATCCCTCACATCTCGAGGAGTACTGCACGGGGATAATGACGCCGCAGGAGGTGACACCCGGTGGTGGTCATCAGGAAATCGATGGGGGAGGCGGTGGGGGAGGAGTCACCGCGGGTGGAGGAGGAGTCACCACCGGCACTGCCGGACCAGGTGCTCCAGTGCGTGGCGAGAAGCTAAGGATCAGCTTACCTCGCAAGGAGTCCCTTGGCAAGGAGCGCATTCAGAACTCCAAGTCGCCGCGTCGCGTGTCCAACACCAGTGGCAAGACCTGGTTCGAGTTCGCCGAGGAGGGTCTGCGAGCCAACAATAACCTGGAGCGCAAGGACTCCGCCAAGCAGTTGCTCCCGGTGGTCACACCACCAGCAGCAGCAGCACCACCACCACCACTGGCTGCTCCCTCGCATCTGGAGGAGCCGAAGCCGAAGGCGTCGACCCAGCGCAAGCTCTCCGGCCACTGGATCGACTTCGAGAACATACCTGAGAAGCGGAAGCCGGCCAAGCGGATCACCACCTTGCCCAAGGAGACGCTGACGAGCAGTGTGGCCGCCACGGCAACCACCAGTTCCTCCTCCGCCTGCGGCAGTGGCCACCATCGATCCGGCACTGGAGCCGGCACTGGCCACCACCATCACCACCAGCATCATCAGCAGCAGCAGCACCAGCAGGCAGCGAAATCGCATCAGGATGGGGGCGACAAGCTGCACTACAACTATGTGAAGCCGGAGGATTGCCAGTGCGAGTGCCACGAGGCGGAGCGCGGCGAATCCTCGACAGCAACGGCCGGCGGCGGAGATACCAGCACGGAGACGGGCACTGGAACGGGCACGGGAACGGGCACGGGCAGTGAGTCGCTGGCCTCCGTGGAGCTACTGCAGCAGGGCGAGGACATGTTGCCACTGCTCGAACCCGACACCTCGGCGGAGGGCAGGTAAGTGGATCGAAGCTGATGGGAATCCTTTGGGTTACCTAACCATTGATCTCTTAATCTTGGCAGGATTTACGGGGACGATGAACAGGCGCCTCTGGTCCGTCACAGTGGCAAGAGCCTGTCCAATCCCAGGGTGGTAGGTTGACTCCTCATCGAGAAGCCCTCCCTTTTCTGATCCCCTCTCGATTGCAGACCCAACACGATGAGTTCCCACGCCGGGATGATGGTTCAAGTCCTCGTAATCGCAGGTTCCCCGACCGAAAGTAAACGTCTTCTCTTCTTTGGTTCTTTGGTTCGAACTGGAACGGTTCTTCATAGATCTTCAGGGTAGCTAAGCCGGTAATCTATCTCTATGTAAGTCGAGTCACTAAACTAAGGGCCAGCCTTTGCTCCTGGCCTATATCCTTAATGTACCTCAAGCAGAGTGGTTGTTATACGTGCAGAAGCCGAGGGACACTGATCGCTAGACAATGATGCGTATTACCTTTCGACTCGATTAGCTAAAAACCAAATAAAACTCTAAATGGAATATTATTAAAAGAAAATACAAGATAATATGCATACGATACTCGGTACTACAATACATACATACATATATAGCTCATGAATGTACATGGTTAGGGTAATTTTTTTGATAGCAACAATTACAACACTCACTCTACATATATAGCAATCCTGACGGACCGAAGGGTCCATTTCCCTAGAAACTTTTCGCTGGCAATTTTTACTATATGTGATCTCAGACAAAGTGTTATACATGCATACGAGGCGCGTTGGACATCCGATCGGATTCTCTAGCTGTAAGTCGGTGTATTTGTGTGTAGTTTGTTAACTAGCTCAGACAAATCCGGAATCCCGAATCCCTAGAGTCCAAAAACCAGAAACCAGAATCCTTAATCCCTAGGCTTAGTCACTAATCTCTTCTATATCGGTGTCTGTGTCCGTTTCTATGCGTGCGTCTGTGTGTGTGTGTTTTGGAGATCCATATCTCTCTGTAGCACCACCCTCCCGATTTCGACCCATATCCCTAGGAGTCTCACGATGAGACACATTAAACGATCTATGAACGAGTTGTAATCGTTTTCAGTTGGTCAAAATACAAAAAGAAAATACACAAAAAGTAGCCTGATTCATATAGCCTTTAGTTGAGTTCGAAGCGTTAGTTAGTTAGTCAGCCCCGATTTTGCCGGGTGTGTTGTAAATACATAAGTCTAAACTAGATTACAGTATTCGATACAAAAGGGATTTTGACGTTGACATTTTTTTTTTGCGGTCCAAAGAAATTCCGCCAAAAGTTTGTGAACTTTTAAATGCTTATATTATATACGGGAATATAATTATAAAGCCAACAAACTGCCAGCACACACACACTTGCCATATGAGAAGTTCCTCCTTTGTTTTTGTTTTGGGGGTAACCGGTTTGGTGACCCCGTTCGGTTTATGCGCCCCAAACATCACGGTACGAATACGATCTATGAGCTAGCTTCAAAGGAACAGTCGAGTACCCAAAGGATATTTCCTTTTTTCTGACGCTCATACGGAATCGAACGAAATACAAAAACACCCTCTAGCTAGCCTTTGAAATTCCTAAATACTTTATTGAACTTAGCGGACAACGGACATTCATTAAATTGAAGCAAAATCAAGCGAATAAAATTTAAATTAATATTAATGCATCTTAAGGAAATCTTATAGGTAAATTATACAATACATAAACAACATTGAAAATGTGCGATGCGAGGTCAGGATAAATGGGAGCTTGAATCAGAGAACTGTACGAGTTTATCGAAAGAATTTCATAGCCCCCAAATAGTCCCAATAAGGTATTACGTAACGAAAACCTTTTTTGTATTTTTTTTTTGGTAGCAGAAGTGGTGAAGCACAAAATGCACTCGAGACATATACGATATATAGGCGTAATGACGAATTCAAGCAAGATCTTAACAAATTGTACAATAATTTCCACAATACATTTATGTGAGGATAATATATATTCATATATACAAATCTATATGTATATGCATTTACACATAGGTTGCGTTCCAGTTTCCGAATCTTGTTCTCTATACTTTTTAAAATCGTTTTCGAATAAACTTTTTTTGTATAACTTAGACAAACCACGAAAAATTGTTGTTAAAAAATGCATTTACATTACGAAAAGATAAGCGAGTTGAGCGTTTTAATAAGCAAAGAAAAATGAAAAATTGTTACCACAAATTTATGCATTCATACGAAAAGGAAAAAACCAGATGGGTTAAGCAAAAGGAAATAAATTAATAAATATATATATATGTATGCACTTTCATTATTTAACGATTTCATATAGGCGAAAATGATGATTATGATGAGGAGCAGGCAGAACATTAATTGAAAACTATTCATTAAAGTGACAAAAACATACTTAAACAAACTGTGTGCCGTTTTATCTTGGGCCTTGTTTCGGATATCATCGGGGTTTATCGATTCGCGCCCGCTAGCATGCGACTTGGACATGAGAATTGGACTCTTATCGCAATCTGAGGCTTAAACGGCCCACCGTTGGCAATCGATCATGATTACGGCTATTTAACATGCATATAGGGCTCAGCCGTAAAGCGGCTTCGTGGTTTCAGATAAACGACTGCACGACCACGTCAAACGGTGACGAACTCCTTTTTAGATCAGCACCCCCAATACAAAAGGTAAGCGTAAAATTTTGCATATATTTTCTCCTTTCGAAATTGAACATTGTTCTGATTATGAAACAAAGTTTTGTTAATGTGAAACCAAAAAAAAATATTTTTTCTTATATTTATTCGCGTTTTGTTGCAATTTTTATTACATCGCTTATCGCGTTTTGGCGCCACGTGTAAACATGTTGCACTGAGCGTCGCTCTCACTGCGCATGCGCGCTCTCTTTTTATTTAAGAAGAGTGAGAGCACCATCCATGCACTTGGAGAAAAATGGTTTCCTTATTAAGGAGCTATCTTTGTAAATAATAAAAGTTAGTATAAAGCAATATTTGTTTACTCTTTTACATTATAATTGGGCTTGAGCTTGATTTTTAGGGACTTTCAAACTTAAAATGTAACATTAATATGAATTTGTATGCCAATTGTTTAATGATCCAAATGCCCAACAGTGCGTATGAGTGATTTATTTTTATGATGAACGACTAACTGGTTTTTGGACACTTTAAGCACAAACGTAAAAAGGGTTTATTTGTCTTTTATAAAAATATAAGTAAATGTAAACTGTAGTCCCTGCTTTCAAGCTATATTTCAAAACCCCGCACAGGCAACCGTGCGTATGAGTTACTTTAAAAAACACAAGAACATTTATCTTACCCCCTGCCCTTCTCTCAGTGTACTCTCCCGCTAGCCGGCCAGCGTATAAGTAGAGGCGGCCAAAGCGAGACGGCCTCAAAACGAACAGAGCCATCGAACGGCGAAGGTGCGCGCATTAAGGTTCTCCCCCGCAAACAGACCGACCAACCACAAAAAAAAAAAGTGAAGAACGAGACCAACAACAGAAAAGGAAAAGAAGAAAATCAAAACAAACGAGAACAGTCGTTTATTTCTTTTTGTTTTGTGTTTTTCTCGAGAGAGAGAGTTTCGAGATCGAAAGAGAGAGAACTGAGAAGTGATCAAGATGGCGTTCATGATGCCCGTGATGAAGAACAATTACGATATTTACAAGGACACGCGCTCACGCAAAACGTCGGAATGTTCGAATGCGAGTAGTAACGGTACCACGGCTCTGGCCACCGCTCTTGGAACGCCGGCGCAGGAGCAGAAGCAGCAGCGACGCCGCAAGGTGTCCGAATGCAAGTCGGAGAGTTTCGCCACGTCACCGTCGCACGGCCAACTGGGCGCCAGCTCCGCCGCCCACCAAAGGATGCAGATGCAGCGGTGCCACAGTTCGCGCGCTTTTCCGCGCAACGCATCGCGCAGCTCGCACGGTTCGATGCAACAAATTGTGTCGCCCACGCGCAGTAGTCCGCCCAGCCGTTCGCATACCGCCTCCGCACTGGAAAGGCAGGCGGCCGCCCAGGCAGCGGCCATAAATCAGAAACAACAACAACAACAGCCAGCTGGTGCAGTGGAATCTTCCAATGACTATACGAAGTTCCATTTGCGACTGGTCGACAAGCTGCGTAAATCCTTTCGCAAGGATAGCGGTAAACGGTCATGAGATCATCACAAACACAATCACAATCGCAGCAACAGCAACAACCACAACTACGACAACAACAATGCCAGCAGCAGCAGCATGGCGCTCCTTTCCATTACCAGCAACAACAACAACAACAATAGCGAGAGAGATGACCCCACTTCCAGTGGAAGATCACCTGGCCGCGATTTGGGAGAGAGCAGTGCAGCTAGAGCGGCCACGGATGAGGGGGAGTTGAGTGCAACAGAGAGCGGGGAAGTAGACACCACCTGGAAGAGGGGAGCACAACCACGAGCACCGACTTTCCCGAGGGAGAGCAAGGAGGAGAGAGGGAGAAGAGCAGCCCCAACTTCCAGAGAGAAAGGCATGGTCAATCGGTTGGGGCGACGCTTCAGGCGCTACTGTAAATTCCTGTCTGCCTCTCACGGGACACAGGCGTCGGCGGAGGACGAGGCAGAGGCCGAAGCAGAGGCAGAGGTCAGCTCCATGGAGCAGCTAACCGGCAGCAGGAGCAGCAGTCGCAGTCGCAGCCGGCGTCGGCGCAGCAGCAGCATTGGAAGTGCCAGTAGCCGGCTAAAGATGCGACTGCGACGCTGCACTTCGTCGCCAGGATAAGAGGGAGATGGCTAATCACCAACTAGGTCGGAGCGAGAGAGATAGGAGAGACTGGAAGTGAAGAGAAAGAGAAAGAGAAAGAGAGAGTGGGTGCAGCGGCGTAGCCAAAAAGGGGGTTACCAAAAGTCACTTAACCTAGTTATTGGCGGGCAACAGAAAAGTGAGTTGGCGTACAGAGTTGTTGGTGCAAATTTGTTTGAGCATAATCCACATAATCTACATACATACATATATAAATTTCGGTGTACATATGCAAACTATTTAAAACTATATATATATATATATCAGAACCTATAAATACAAACTAAAGTCCCAAATGTATAATTACATTAATTATATGTATTTATGTATGCCAGGCTTCCAAATATAGAAAATAGAGTCCCTATCCCAAAACCAAAACCAAACCCTCTCCAAAAAATATTAAAACACTTCTTTTTTGTAACTGCGGTTTCGCGACAAGAGGAAATCAGAAATTGCAACTGCCAATTGCATTGTATAACGAAGACCACATCAGCAACAACCCAAAAACAAGACAAACCACTTGAGAGTATAACAAACAAACTAGAAAAAGAACCACGGATTTTTACCTTCTCATTTTGTAATTGCATAATTACGAGGCGCAATTGACAATATACTTTTGAATGCATTGCGAACAAAATATAAGAGAATAAATAATAACAAGGCGAAAAACGAAAAAAACGAAGCAGCTGAAAACAGACTTAATATTATATCGCATAACATATACACACATGTACTTGTACTAAAAAATATACATATATATATATACAAAAATGTACCTAGACGCAGCTAATTTTAAGCAACAATTAATGTTATTCGTTTTTTTTCTTAGCTAGTAATTTTGTAATTACAAAAACATACACGGCAAACGAAACAAATACAAAAAAACTCTGACAAAAAACCAAATAAATAAAAAGTAACAAAAAAGTATATGGAAAAATAAATCCAAAGACTGTGTCATTTCATTTGCACGCGAAAACATTTAAATGTCAGCAGGGGGAGTGAGTGAGAGCGAGAGAAAGTCAGAGGGAGAGAGAGAAAATTGCAGCTGCAGCCAAGTGCGCAGAAAATGCGTTTCATGGGGAGGGGGAAGGGGAGGGGAAGCCCCCAATTCGGCCGCAATTAGACCCACTCTCGCCATCCCGCTCCCGCTTCCGCCCTTTTTCATCCCCCTCGCACACACTACTCTTCATGGGAACGAGGTATGCGGAAGCAGAAGATGCGCAACGCGCGGAAAGGCAAATGAAGAAAGACATACGACTACAGTGATCCCTCGTAGAGTAAGGTTAACAGGTTAAACTTAGGTACGAATAACACAAGGACTCTTTGAGCTATTCAATCAAGCCAATAAGTATACAGATATAAGTACAGTGCTAAACGAAGAAAAACTTTCTATCCCATTACTAAATTTTAGACCATACCCAAAAGATACTTGTAAAAAGTTGTAAGTAAAGTAATATAAACTATTTTTTTTTCTAATAAGCTATATATGTATCTCAAGAGGAAGATTTCTAAGCGGTGTACATAAGTACAAAGGTGATCATTATCGACAGAACTTAATAAAAACTTTCACCATAACGCTCTAGTACCATTTTAAATACTTCATAAAAATAACCAAATAACCAATCATATTAAAAAATCTATGTACCTTAAAAACCACTTAACTGAACTAAGAGAAGTTCAAAAATAAAATCAAGTAGCTATTTGCCCTGTTTCGTAAGTCTTCATTTGGTTTTATAGTTATTGGCTAATAAAGCACAGAGGATGCAACAGTTAATAACTAGTTGTGTAATACGGCAAACTGAATTTAAGTTAGCCCACTTAATTCCAATAACTATGAGGCATACAATGAAAGCAACATTCTTATCATTAAACCATAAAACCATTAAAAGGCAATGGTATTTTGTTATAAACCCTAAAGTTAAAGCCCCCGAAGGGATTTTATTTTTACGACTGCAGTGCGCAGTTGCATAGTATCTGGAAACACAAAGTATCTGCCATGTTTCACAGCGATTCCCGTATACCCCAATCAAGAGCGTCATGGCAGTGTCAACCTTGACCTTTGGACGCAGCAGCGACGAATTGAATTGCCTGAAACAATTTGGCGTGTGTCATATTGTTAAAATCGGTTGGCGAACAAAAGGGAGGCTTTTTCGGGGCACTTGTGGGGGGATCCACTCAGCGCGACACTGTGGCACACATTTAAAATCTAGGCGAAACCCACATATGTTGAAAAAAAATTTATAAAAATTCTACGATTCAATTTCAATTGAGGAATATGTATCTGAAAAGCGGTTCGAGCTGTGGTCCAAAATAGATGTACAAAGATATGATGTATAGAAATGTATCTGTATTTCATTGGCAATTCGTGTGTGATTTCTTTCAAATTCGATGCGTTGACGATTTTTCAATTTTGATTTGTTGTGATTCGCGCATGCAGCAAATTAGCGGAAATAAATCGAAATTTTAGCATGCAAAACTGGGCAAACATGTAATGAACAGCTGTTCCCTCCAATCGTAACTAAGTATAACTATAATTAAAACAGATAAATGCAAACACAGTTGCACTTGTTTAAATACTATTTATTATCTATAAATGCTAGTTCTGGACCTCAGCACTCCAGATCTTAAAAGAAAATGTGAAAACAATCTCAGAATTGCTGTGAAATAGATTCTATAACTTGGTACTTTCAACATGTATGTAGTTTCTTTACAATAACCATTATTGTGTTTACTGTAATCCACCCTTTGATAAGGTAGCCAAAAAATCTTTGATTTGCTATGAAAGGGATTCTACTTTCAGCATATCATTTCTATCCAATAACTATTATTATTTTTTTTATAATGCAGCCCTTAAAAAAGTAACCAAAGATGATTATTTGGTAGGTCCCCAAAGATTCTCAGAATTGCAAATTGAAAGGGATTCTATAAGCTTACCAACTTTCAACATGTAATTTCTATCCCATAAGTATTATTATTTTTAAGGTAATCAAAGATTTCATTGCCTGATTCGGCGACGCTTTCATCTGCTTTGGAAATCCCATCAGTTCGGAATCGAGCGGGATCTATTGTTTTGTCTCCTTATCTGTGGGCATGTTTGTTTATCCCCGCGTTTTGCAGAGTCAGTTGTTATCTTTCGATGATATTCTGGTGCTTTCTGAAACCGGTTCGAGTTGGCTAGCCGGCAGATTTTCAACTTCACACGGCCGTAAAAGCCGATACGCAGTTAGCCATCTAGATATCGGCGTAAATATCGCAGATAGGCCAATGTTATGCATTCATAAATGTCAACTATGGTGATGATTTAACAGCCCTCCCTCGGTTTTCGGTTAGATGAATGATTATGTGGTATATGTGCGCCTGTCCATTTGCCTTGCATTACTCGGATGAATGTGATTTCGAAGCCTTATGTGCATAAGTAGATACCTGCATATGTAACTCGAGATGAGATGCCCCCTGCATAGTCATCGGTTATATCGTAACTTTGTTGTTGGACTGTGGTTGTGCAATTCCTTTCGCCAATGTCAATCGAATACTGCATCTAGATATCTCTTCCTCCCCATTGCATTTCCCCTACCAGTTGTTTTCTCCATTGTCAGCATAAACAACAAACAAATCACTTGACACATCATCAAAACAACAACAACCTAATAATGGAGGGATAAGAATCTAAGAATCAGAACCAGGGGATCTGTTTTTAAATGGTACTTACATAGATCTTTATCAAATATTAATATGAGGGGATTATTATGCTATATAAAAACAGATCACTTAGATTCTTATCCCTATAATATTAACATAATAATATATATTAATAACATTACTATTATATCATGTTCATTTGTATAGTTTCCTATATTTTTGGATTGGACCTTGGGATTGACTCATTGTTTCGGTTTCCATTTGATCTTTTTTCCCCCCATACCAACACTATTATACGGTTTTCTGAGCGGGGTCCTTGCATTATTTTAGGTAGTATTCTAACGTCTTATTCGGTTCCAACATTCTTGTTATCTTTGCCCTTGCTCTTACTGTTTTTGCTTTTGTTTGGTTTTCACTGGTTCTCTTTGAGGGAATTTGTTGTTTTTTTGTTCTATTTGCTAATTTACGAGTCACTTGAAGACGAGTGACAGGCGGTGGGAAAAAAGGGGGGCCAACTATTGTGTTTTCTATGTTTATGCGAGGCAACAGGTTTTCATTGGAATTAACCCCGTGCGGCCCCCATTTCCCCCATTTCCCCCTTTTTGTTTTCTATTTTTTTATGTTTTTGCGCCTTGCGCGTGCCGCATTCAATTTGATGCTGAATCGAACATTTATTGAGCAATTTCCAGTTCGATCCTCTTCTGGTCGCGAATCGCGATACAATGACGCCAACAATGAAATGTATTGTTGTGCTTAACCCCTATTTGCCCCCTGGCCTCCCTTGAACAACAATAATTCGATTACGTGGGCTACATTTCTGCGGTTGGTCAGTTCGGTGATTATCTAATTGCAGAAGTGGTCACGGTTCCTCGGAATTAGGTTACATCAAGAATATCGCGTTCTTGAATTATGAAAATCTTTTAACTTATGTTTCCAATAGATTTCGTAAATTATACCCTCAAGGAAAATACCAAATTCGAGTTATTCAATCTTTAGTTCGATGATTATCTAATTACAAAAGCGTTACAGCTACTCAAAATTTAGTTCTATCAAAAACATTGCGTTCTTGAATTATTGAAATCAGTTCAGTTATGTTTCCAATATATTTCCTCAAATATACCCTCAAGAAAAACACAAATATTCGAAATACTTCGTTTGTTGTTTATTTTTTATAGTCGTTGTTTACGTTTCGTGTGCTAGTCTTTTGGCAGCCCCCAATTGTTTACCCCGATCTGTTGTTTAGTCCAAGATCAAGGTGAGGTTGTATAACTATAACCCGAATTCCATTGACGTCACCGCGAATCGAGTGGCGGGGGTGGAACTAAAAGGGGGCCAAGCTTGCGGCTTATCCTGATGCCAGGGGTCAAGGGTGAGTTGAGGTTCTTTTGGGGGTGGGCGTGCAGTGACAGCGGGAATTAGCGACCAACTGACGACAGCAAAAGTGGAAGAAGAGATAAGCGCACTTATGTGTAACCAAAGAGGATAAACGCAACGCACTAATCGCGAACAAAGAGTCCTTCAGGTGGCATAGTACTATGTAATATTATTGCCATTCTATTTTAATAACAATTTTTTTTGGTATATATTTTAATGATCGAAAGATTATTTCAAAATTCTATGAAATTCGATTTTAGGTTTATACCTTTTTGGTCCACATATATAAAATTAGGTTTTTATATCCATTAAATCTTATAAGCGACAGTCACATGCCTTTTTCGTTTTCTGGTTCTTTCCATTGAAATACATAAATGTACGAGTATGTGACTCAATCAGTGATTGAATTAATGTTCCCAATTGAACAGGCCGCAGTGTCAGTGGAAAATTCCCAAAAAACTCGCTAGAAAGAGATGGCCAAAGAGAGAAAGAGACGGGGCGGTGGGTGGTACAGGAGGGGCGTGGCAGGGTGCAAAGGGCGCAGCTTTCGCTCTCCTCATCGATTAAACAACGCGAATGGCGGAAAGGGGGGGGGGCGAAGGACGCTCAAAGGACCTGACCTAGTCAAAGTTCGCCTCTCACGCGCTCTCCCAAACGCAGTGACATTTACTCTCTGCCGCTCTCTCGCCATATGCGTAGGGGCGGTGGAAAAAAGAGGGGCCCACCACCCACAACCACCCTCTTTGAAAACTACTGACAAACTTCGTTACGGTTATTTAATTATTGCAAGCGTAAAGTGCATATTTTATTGGGCACAAATTCATTTAGGCCGTGCAATATATTGACAAAACTTGCTTGATAATCAAATTACCAAGCTTTGTTCTCACTTGAGTTAATGGTGTAAAATATAACAGTGTATACGCTCAAAAGGGTCAAAGTAGCACTGATTACTGATCGTGGGATGGGCAACCTGGTGTGGAATCTATTTGTGGATGCTGCAAAAGCTCTTTATGCAGCAGATAAGAAGTGTGGATTAAGCTGTTCAACGAGATTTAGTATAGCAAGAAGAACAGCTTGAAAAATATTTGATGTGTTAGGGAAAATAGGGACGGTCCCTAAGAAAGTAGAGTCTTTTTCAAAACGCTTGGAAAAATCCTGCCACTGCAGTTGCTAAAAAATTAAGTGAGTAATATTTAAATTTAAGTAGAGCTATTCAAGCCCATTTGAATTCATAAATAGATTGATAATATTTTGACCCCCTTGGTGTGTAAGGCTTTCAAACTACACCCATCTCACTCCCGTTATCCTGCTCTCTCATCTCCCCTGATTTCCTGGCCACCCTTCCACGCTGCTCACTCTCCCGCTCTCTTCTTCCTTTTTTTGGGAACGTGTGGAACAGCACGTAGTCAAAAATGCTGAAAATGCGGAAAACGTAAACCGGCTTTGGTCCCGTGACCCCTGCGCCTTGCCTTTTGGCCTGTGTCAAGGACATTCAACTCACGGCCTGCCTTCGATTAGCGGCATTTATTGATTTCCGTCTTGTTGTCATTTTTTGCAGTGCGACTTTCCGGCGTTTTCGTTGTTCAGTTTTACTGTCAAAGTGCGGGTCTTAAGTGCAGGTATAATTGCCCAGGTGAAAATGAATTTTACAAAGTCTCGGCCTTGGCTTTAAGGCGGGGTCAGTGATCCCCCTGAAAATAGTCATCAGGTGACTGGAATGTTGCCTCTCTTGCACCGTAAAAAGAGTTTGATATTATGGTGATAAATCGAAGTTATTTTTGAATGACCCTCTGAAAACAAAAGCCCACAAAATGTCTTGTTTAAATTATTTACATATGTATGTATGCAAACTATTTTTAAATTATCATCATAATATTATTCGATCTTCATATGATTTAGTTTCTGTGTATCAAAAACGTGCTGCGAATCGGAATACCAAAGCAAAGAGATAGACAAAGCGAAGCAGGAATAGGAGGAGACCGCAAAAGGCACCGAAGCGAGCGCGGCTTAAGCGAACGAGTGAGCAAAACAAACGAGCCGAGGGAAAAGAGAAAAACAACGTTTCAAGTGAAAGTCGAACACAAGCACCGAAAAGGAGAGGGAACAGCAAATTGGTAAGAAATGAAATTCAAGCCAAGCTGGTGCTGCTCTTCTTTGGTATGTTGGCCACAAAAACAACAAGCAGCGACAGCGACGCCGACCGAGAACCACTGTAACCATTTAGGGTGGACCTTCATAGGCAGATCAAGATCACAGATTCTTAGCAAAATCAACACATCCAAAGTAAAAGAAATACCACAATTCCCTTTTTAATAAAGATAATAAATTACGCATACGACGCATAGGCCCAAATGATATACATAAATATATGTTACTTAATTTGTTACTTTATATATTTATAAATATGCATAATTAACACATTAAGAACATTAAGCAGACCAGAATGTTAAAACCTATATATGTTTCCTAGTTGCAACAACTGAACATCAACACTGCGTATGAGTGATTTCCTTTATTTTTTTAAATAGATACTTATAGATATTACCAGGGTCCACCCTAGTGCATATGCAGCAGCAGCGGCAGAGGCAGCATGTTAATAACAGACGCCTCGGAATAATTTTTTTCAGGTTATTTCTGACGCGTTAACACGGCTCGGAACCACAACCACTGGAAGTCGAAGCCAGGCGCCGAGCAATTGGACTCCACGGCAGTCAGTCAGTCAGTTGGCCAAGATCGCGCGAGAGGCTTAGACACGCAGCCAGTAGATCAGTAGCCCAGTAACTAGAGTTTCGGATCGGTCGCACTAACTGATCGAGTAAATATAGCAAACAACCCCGGGGAAATGTGCGAAACAACCACCTGACATCCCAAAAGTTTTATTCGTGTGGTAATATCGAGGTAACATCAGTTCCCAGCATTCAAACAGTCTCCGTTCATAAAGGCCACTTCAATTTGGTAAGTCTTTGGCATGCAAAAGAAAGTTGAGTAATTCCCATTAATGGAATGCCAAAATTGTCAATGAAATCCTGGGTTTTTGAGAGGTTATCACAAAATCCATCCAAAAGCCATTTAAAGATTAACTGGAGCCCTTGTCATGGCTATAATTTTATTCAATTTCCCACCGAAAAATCCATAATATATTAGCCTTCGTTTAAGAAAATGTTCAGGTGTTAATTCCATTACCATAGAGAAAGTTCTTATGCCCGGGCGTTGACCGACTCACAATAATTCCATTAATTGAACTATATGAAAAATTAAGATTTCTAAATTTCAATTTTAATTTCTCTTATGTTAACACCATCTTTAAGTGTCCTATAATGATTATGAAATTAATAATTGGGCCTAAAGAACATTTATTCATTGAATGGGTACTTAAAGTTAGTGAACTTCCAATACTAACCAGTGTCCAAAGTCTAATAATTATGGTTTAGATATAAAGTTCTAGGCCCGGACCTCTGGTAACAATACATTTGATTAAGCCATTTTAAAATGCTTGATTCTGGATTCTAGGCAGCATTGTAATGCCATAAAATGTAATGACTTTTAAATCTAAAACGATTTGCTAGATACAACGCGCAGCGAGCAATTTAAGTGAATTACGAGAAACCAGTTGTTCAGGTGCAAAACCACTTGAGATTTCGGGGTCAGCGGGGCCTTCAACTTGGTCACTCCCCTCCTGAGATTTCCCATCTTGACTTATTTTTACCTTACCCCATTGTACCCCTTTTCGGAGTGGCCCTTTTCCCCTTTCCTTTCGGATAACCATGTACAAACATACATATATAAACTTTCTTTTCTCTCTTTTGTGTAGAATTCAAACCGAACCCGAAGAGACCGCCAGTGAAACCGGAGAATCACCGATCGATCGAATCGATCGCTTAGCCAGCTATGTCGGAGGCTGCCACGCCCCCAGGATCAGTGCCAGGATCAGGATTTCCACCTGGTTTCGATCCCGCCGCCGAATCTGCCGAGAAGACCCTGTGCTTCCGTGGCTTCTGGGCCTGGGCAGTGCTGATTCTCCTGATCGCCCTAGGCATATCGCTCTTCATGTGGCTGCTGCGCAAGTGCATCCAAGGACCGGCCTACCGGAAGGCCAACCGGATCGACGGCAAGGTGGTGATCGTCACCGGCTGCAACACGGGCATTGGCAAGGAGACCGTTTTGGAGCTGGCCAAGCGGGGCGCCCGGGTCTATATGGCATGTCGGGATCCAGGGCGCTGCGAGGCCGCCCGCCTGGAGATCATGGATCGCAGTCGCAATCAGCAGCTCTTCAATCGCACCCTTGACCTGGGCTCGCTGCAGTCGGTGAGGAATTTCGTGGAGCGTTTCAAGGCCGAAGAGACCCGGTTGGATCTTCTGATCAATAATGCAGGGATAATGGCCTGTCCCCGCACCCTGACAGCCGATGGTTATGAGCAGCAGTTCGGGGTCAATCATCTGGGACACTTTCTGCTCACGAATCTGCTGTTGGATCGCCTGAAACACAGTTCGCCCAGTCGAATTGTGGTGGTCAGTTCGGCGGCTCACCTCTTTGGACGGATTAACCGGGAGGATTTGATGAGCGAGAAGAAGTACGGCAAGTTCTTTGGGGCCTATAGCCAGTCCAAGCTGGCCAATATCCTGTTCACCCGCAAGCTGAGCGCGATCCTCAAGAATTCGGGGGTCACGGTGAACTGTTGTCATCCGGGCGTGGTGCGCACGGAGCTCAATCGTCATTTTGCGGGACCCGGCTGGATGAAGAGCGTCCTCCAGACGGGATCTTTGTACTTCTTCAAAACACCGAAGGCAGGTGCCCAGACCACCCTGCGATTGGCACTCGATCCCCAGTTGGAGGGCTCGACGGGTGGCTACTATTCGGACTGCATGCGCTGGCCTTTGGTTCCCTGGGCTCGGAACATGGAGACCGCCGACTGGTTATGGCGGGAAAGTGAAAAGCTGGTGGGTCTGCCCCCCCTGGAGCCACCGCCCAGCCAAAACCAGAACCAGAACCAGAACCCAACCCATAATGGTAATGGTACCCAAAATGGTACTGGTAATGGTAGTAGTGCCAATCCCGGAACTCGGGAAATGCAGTCCGTCGAAACGGTCGTGGTCAGTCGTTCATAGTAGTAGTCAAAGTCCTTGAGAAAAGGGTTCACCACAGTACAGACCTTGCTCTTAATTTATTCCTTATAATATTGCGTGTTTAAGTACCCTTGGGAAGACCCCGTACAATCGACAGTCGAGTTCGGAATGAGGCCAGTTCCAATTAGCTAAAGTCTCTGATTTTTCTTGTATAGAGCATATAATATTTAAGAAACTGTATCTGCAGTTAATTTTTTTTGTATCTTTAACAATGTTTTAAAATTTGGGAACCTAATAAAATTGTTACAAGTTCCATTGTGACTTATACCCTATATATACTTATATCCACATTTTCAAATGAGATTATTGAAAGATTTCAGTTCTTAAGGTGTTGGTAGTGAGTTTGTTTCTGAGAATATGACTTGTAAGATAAATAGCCTAACTTATAGTTAGCTGTCGACTGAAACTACATATTTCCCAGGGTATTTTAGTCTTCGGTCCTCGAAGTTAGCTTTTCAATACTCTTTTTTTTTAGTTTGTTCTGTACATAATTTTAAGCGAAAGAAAACCCATTAAAATAAAAGTTAAACCCGACATGCAATCCTCTTTTGGACTCCCCTTTTTTCCTTCTCTTTACCTTCTCTCTCCTTTACGCCTAAAAACGGAAAAGAGAAAAAAGAAACAATAACAATCAGCATAAAGCGAACAATTTACGACAACAAAGCAAAATCAACGGTCGATGCCACTGCACTTTCGTGTGCGAGGGAGAAGGCGATATGGGGGCATGGAGGGGGAGAGCGTGAGTGGGTGAGTAAGGCAGGTGAGTGCGAGAGCGAGTGAGTCAGACAGTCAGACAGTCAGTCCCATTGTTGGCCCACAGTGGGCCAAACGGTGTAATAAACAACCAAAATATTGTACTCCGAAGGTAAAAACAATTATAGTACACTTGCAGCTAAATTTCTTGGTTGTATAATTCTTTTTAGAAAGTAAATACATAAGGTTGTTTAAACAAATTTTGCAATTAAATCATTACAAACATTTACTTTTGTTATACTTGAGAGAGCATAGACAATTATGCATTTTCCAAGCCATAAATGTAGTTCCCCTAATTACACCCACTGTGCACCCGTTCGCTCATCCACATGCCATTAGCATTAACAAAAATCACATAAAGCGGGAGAGAGCGAGAGGGGGCGTGCGGGCGGGCTGAAGGTGCGAGCGAGAGGCAGGGGGAAGCAATGCAATTAAACCCATGCATGCCCGCGGGGGTCGTTCTGGTTGCGCTGGCAATCGGGCTGTGCCAAAAAAGTGAAAATCACAAAACCCCAACTGATTGCGCCGCTTTTGAGTCAATCAATTAGCCTCGGAAAATCTAAATGTAACGCTGCAATTCAGATGCTTTTAATGAGCCTGCTCTAGAAAATTACTTTCCTACTATAGGAAGTACATGTTATAGCTATTTTAATTCACTCACCCATCTTCTTTCTTAAGTTTTCATTCTATATTTATAATTTAGCAAGAGTGTGCCTTTCAGAACAAACATTTATTTAAATTGGGGATGTTTTAAACTTATAATACACTAGCTTCAAAGTCGGGTGCTGTTTTTAGTTCCCATCCTGAACACCATTGGAAATACCAACATAAACATAGCCTACAATTTTGACATATTTTAAAAAGTACCATTTAAATTTAGATTATTAGAGAATTCAACCACAAATTTATAGAGGTATCCCACTTCAAAATCGGTAACCAGTAGATCAAGTTATGGAATTTAGAAGTCCAGTTTTTGGTTCCCATTCTGAAATCCATTGGAAATACTGAAAAATCGAACATGAAAATGGGCTGAAATTTCGACCCTCTCCTAAGGAATACATTTTAATGCAGATTATTAGAGAATTTAACCACGAATTCATAGAGGTATCCCAATTTAAGATCGGTTAGCAATAGATCAAGTTATGGAATTTAGAAGTCCAGTTTTTGGTTCCCATTCTGAAATCCATTGGAAATACTGAAAAATCGAACATGAAAAGGGGCCGAAATTTTGACCCCCTTTTAAATAATAAATTTGAAGGCAGATTATTAAAGAATTTAACCACGAATTCATAGAGGTATCCCACTTTAAGATCGGTTAGCAATAGATCAAGTTATGGAATTTAGAAGTCCAGTTTTTGGTTCCCATTCTGAAATCCATTGGAAATACGGAAAAATCGAACATGAAAATGGGCCGAAATTTTGACCCCCTTTTAAATAATAAATTTGAATGCAGATTATTAGAGAATTTAACCACGAATTCATAGAGGTATCCCACTTTAAGATCGGTAACCAATAGATTAAGTTATGGAACTTAGAAGTCTAGTTTTTGGTTCCCATTCTGAAATCCATTGGAAATACTGAAAAATCGAACATGAAAATGGGCCGAAATTTTGACCCCCTTTTAAATAATAAATTTGAATGCAGATTATTAGAGAATTTAACCACGAATTCATAGAGGTATCCCACTTTAAGATCGGTTAGCAATAGATCAAGTTATGGAATTTATAAGTCCAGTTTTTGGTTCCCATTCTGAAATCCATTGGAAATACGGAAAAATCGAACATGAAAATGGGCCGAAATTTTGACCCCCTTTTAAATAATAAATTTGAATGCAGATTATTAGAGAATTTAACCACGAATTCATAGAGGTATCCCACTTTAAGATCGGTAACCAATAGATTAAGTTATGGAACTTAGAAGTCTAGTTTTTGGTTCCCATTCTGAAATCCATTGGAAATACTGAAAAATCGAACATGAAAATGGGCCGAAATTTTGACCCCCTTTTAAATAATAAATTTGAATGCAGATTATTAGAGAATTTAACCACGAATTCATAGAGGTATCCCACTTTAAGATCGGTTAGCAATAGATCAAGTTATGGAATTTAGAAGTCCAGTTTTTGGTTCCCATTCTGAAATCCATTGGAAATACGGAAAAATCGAACATGAAAATGGGCCGAAATTTTGACCCCCTTTTAAATAATAAATTTGAATGCAGATTATTAGAGAATTTAACCACGAATTTATAGAGGTATCCCACTTTAAGATCGGTTAGCAATAGATCAAGTTATGGAATTTAGAAGTCCAGTTTTTGGTTCCCATTCTGAAATCCATTGGAAATACGGAAAAATCGAACATGAAAATGGGCTGAAATTTTGACCCTCTCTTAAATAATAAATTTAAATGCAGATTATTAGAGAATTTAACCACGAATTCATAGAGGTATCCCACTTTAAGATCGGTTAGCAATAGATCAAGTTATGGAATTTAGAAGTCCAGTTTTTGGTTCCCATTCTGAAATCCATTGGAAATACGGAAAAATCGAACATGAAAATGGGCTGAAATTTTGACCCTCTCTTAAATAATTAATTTGAATGCAGAGGATTGGAGAATTTAACCACGAATTCAGCGAGGTATCCCATAACTCAAGTTATGGAATATACAAGGGCAGTTTTCCTGCGTTCCTTTCTTGAGGTTTTTCCTTATAATATTACATATATCATAATATATATTTTAGTTTCATCCAGAAAAAGGTTTATTAGCCAACTAGTAATCATTTAGATAACACCTTTTATTAAAAGGGCTTAAACCACTTTTTGGCAGCCCAGGGTTAAGGGAAGCCGCTTCAGTTACACTAAAAATTGCAATGGAAATTTCCACTCGTGAATGAGTGTCTTTTGATTGCGTGCCACCCCCTTTTCCGCCCGGTCGCACCCCCAAAACCCCCCTGAAACAGCTGTTGCATTGGCTGAAACCTCGGCGCCAAGTGAATTTGATCGATAAGAGGCGGAAAATGAAAGGGGAGAAACGCGCGGTAAACCTTTGTAAAATGACAAAACTGTTAGAAAATGCTCAAATCTCAAAAAAAAAGGAAAATAGTACGTAATTTGTGGGTAATTGGGTAGTAAAACAAAACGGTAACAGGTGTTCTCCCGGGGGAACCATTACTATAATGCCACCAAAATACGATGGCATTTTATTTTAGTTTGAGCATTTCGAAATACCCGGAATTTTCCAGAAATTTTTGGTATCGTTTCACCATATGCATTTAAATGGGTTTCAATCAAATCGACACAATACAATTTCAGGCAATCATTAAGTTAAAGCTGCATGGGAAATCAATTTAGTGTTGTTATTCAAAACGCGAAAGAATTTGAAAATATCAAAGCAAATAATTTTATACATAGATACAATTTGATTCTTGAGTTACCTATCGATTACATTCTTTGTTTTATTTAAATTTTTATTGCAATAAACCAGTGTAAAGTTTTGCAAATTTTGATGTTTAGATGACGGGGACTTGGAAATCGGGTAGTCATGACATTGATAAACCGAAATAAGACCTTCTTTGAGGCACGTTTTCAGATTATGTGGTTATTGTATGCTGGCATTCCCATCCAAATATGAAATCGAAATCGATCCGACGATGGAAGATTCAAGAATTCTCGAGCCTCAGTGTAAACAAAAAATGCGCATAGCTATAGCCTTTCCATTCGTTCCAATCTCGAGTTGTCGATGATCGCAGAGAGTTGTAAAATTGTAGAAATGTGACTTTCAGATAATAGAGGCCCTTTTTATGGGGCGATTCGCGGGAAGTGTACGAATATAGTAATTGGCACTCATTTCAACCTACCACAATTCCCTTATCAATTTATAAATATTTGCCCAGACCCCACTAGGTTGTTTGGTATTTTATACAACATTTTCGAGATTTAATATGATGATATAATGAATTTGATATAAAAAGTATCTAAGTGTTTGCTTAGGTTTATTTTTGTGAAAATATAGACTAGAATACATCTTCCAAATACTTTGTATGATTTAATATATGTAACTCTTCGTCATATCATAAGATAATATTTCAATCTAGTAAAAAATGAAAATGCTTTATATACTTAAACAATTTGTAATATGTTCTGATGCAATTGGCAACTGCCATTCATTCATCTGGACGGAAAAGTGATTGCTACGCTAAGCACAAGTTGACACAGATTTATATTTACATTTACCCGTTCCCCCGATCGGATATCCATGATGGGATGGGTACGTATAGTAATACATATATTGTACTTTGGTACTTTGTACCCCCCTCTGACGCAATCGACTCGGGGGATATTTAGATTGCAATCTTGGGTCTCATGTGATAGTGCGTCATTAACCCTTTTCCCACTCAAGCCAACTATTTGTGCTTACGTAGACACTTCAGTATCTTAAGTTCCGGAATGCTTTAAATTAGATGATAGTTACTGCTGATTTCACAATCATGTTAAATAAAAAGTAATAACAAATGGTAAATGATTACAAATTAATAATATATTCTGTTTCTATGGATATTACAGCTGTAAGATATCTATTCAATCATTTGGCAAGCAAATATGGCTATACAAATAGCAGTTAGAGGGTTAAGCGGGCAAAAACTTTCCATTCATGGGAATTCGCTGAATGATCTTCAATTGACGATCGGCTGAGTCAGTTACGAGCTTTTCCGACATCGCAGATCGATCGTCAATCGGCGATAATTGGTTCAAGGTCGTTTTTTCAGGGGGGTCAAGAAGTGACACGCCCGCTAATAAATATGCCGCGAAAAACGAGAAAACAATGAATAGGTGACAGCCGAATGGCCGAACTCTAAGTGCAATTTCCACATATAGCCGCTCTAATTTTAGATGCGAGGCGCTGGCGAATTTTTTAGTGACCATTGATCGCAGCCAAATGCAAAAATTGCTTGGCGACGTGACAAATGCCGTGGCGAAAATAGTATCGCCGATTTCCCTGACATCTTCCCCACGACAGGGCACGTCTTTATGTCTTTAACTAGCACTAAAAATGGGGGAAATGGGGCCAAAAGGGGGTTTACTCTTGGATCTATACAGCTTCGTAAAAACAGAAAACAGAAAAACTTCCTCATGGGGTTAAGCTAATGTACTGTGCACATTTAGATAAGGAAATTTTTTAAAAGATTTATACTGTTATTTATAAGTTCTACATGCACGGATTAAACAAAAAACTTAAAAAAAATATAACAATTTTTGATGGGTTAACTATTTAAAAAAAAATAATGTAACTTATTGCTGGAAATTTGTGCAACAGGACACAACGAGTGTTTATACATTTATTTGTGAAGAAATATTTAAAACGTTGGCTAAAAAATATATAAACTAAAGCAAATCTCACCATGCATTCCAACCAACTTTTGAAATGGGCGCCCAACTGTCGGCGCTGCCACCCCGTGCACACAATCGATTGCCTGCTCGATAACACCACCGATAAATAAGAGCCCCAAAAAAATACCAAAAACCATTGGAAAACCACGAAGGCACTAAAAAATCCGTCATCCAGCGGGCCAGACCGCATGCAGCTCTGCTTTTCCACCATCTTGCCGAAGTTGCCACAAAAATTTTATATTAAAATCGCATAGTGTTGACTATTGTGGAAAAAAACCAGAGCGAAAGGCCGCCAAAAAGAAGTTGGTGAGAAAGCAGGCGGGGATTGGATACCGATTCCGATTCCTATTCCGAGAGCCGGAGCTGGCCCATAGCTTCCAGGCGGAGCGAGCGAGATAGCGTGTGGAACGAGGTGAAGGAGAGGTAAGCAGGGCAGAGAGGCGAGGTGGTAAGAGGAGCTGTCAGCCGGGAAAACTGAAAGGTGAAAAGGAAAGGAGGCTCTCCTGTCAAATTTCTTTTCGATTCGGAATATTCCCGAAGCAGGACGTACTCACTCCGGAAATCCCTTAGGAAAAAACTCAGTAGAATCCAAGCCAAGCGAAATGAATGCGAAGCGTGTCAAGTACGCCACGGTTAAGGAGGAGATCGTTCCCGTGGTCATCCAGCACGATCCCGAGGTGGAGGAGGAGGAGGAGCACGAGCACGAGGTGGGGGAGGAGGAAGAGGAGGGGCACGAGCTGCACCACGAGCACGAGGACGACGGCCAGGAGGCACAGTACACCTATGCCTACGCCACCGCCGACGACGATGACACCGAGCATGCGGTGGTCACCCTCAGCGATCGGGAGCACGAGGCCCTGGCCAATGCCCAGGAGGTCATCATCGATGAAAACGGCCATGCCGTGACCCTGCAGCAGCTGGTCGAGAACAGCACCGTCGAGGAGGTGGAGACCATCGAGCAGGGCGACGGGACCCACACCATCCTCCACATTGTCCCCAACATGCACGACGATGACGTCGAGGACGCCGAGGAGGACGAGGAGCTGGAGGAGGGCGAGGAGCTGGACCATGACGACGAGATCGTGACCGTGGAGCACGAAGAGGGCGAGGTGGACGAGGACGATGACGAGGTCGGTTCCATCGTTTTCGAGGGCACCATCGACCAGGCCGAGCAGGATCCGCATTCCCGCAACAAGACCTTCTATTGCCCCAACTGCGGCAATTGCTACAGCGCCGCCGGCTCCCTGAAGCTCCACATGCGCGCTTGCCTGCGCCAACGCAACGAGGTCTCCGCCGAGGATCGAAAGTGCAAGGTCTGCAGCAAGGTCTTCAATTCGGTGGCCTACCTCAAGGAGCACATGATGCGCCACACGGGCGAGCAGCCGTACCGCTGCACCCGTTGCTATCGCAAGTTCGTCGACGAGGGCAAGTACACCGCCCACATGGAGTCGCACAAGCACCAGGACAAGCTGGAGGCCGAGGCGGTGGCCCTTGCCGCCCAACACGGTGGCAAAAAGGTGGTGGTGAAGGAATTCGAATGCGCCTTCTGCTCGCAGAACTTCACCGTGGTCTTCGATGTGGGCCAGGTGAAGCGGCGGTATGCCTGCGATGCTTGCCGCGAGAAGTACTCCAATGCGGAGGCACTGCGTCAGCACAAACAGCAGGTGGAGGAGAAGCGTGAATTCAGCTGCGAGCGCTGCGGCCGCAAGTTCGTCTTCGAGGGCTTCCTGCAGCGCCACTTGCCCACCTGCGATGGCAGCATCAAGCGCCGTCGGGACATGAAGTAGAGGCGGCCGCAACGTGATGGCAACTGGCGGCGACGGCAGCAGCTGGAGCCGGAGAAGAAGCAGGAGTCGCCGCCGCCAGTTCGTTACGTTGTTATCAAGCAGGAGGACGATGGGGATGAGGATGGGGAGCAATAGAATGCCCAAGAGCACGAACTAGATGATGAGATGATCGGCTAAAGGACGATCAAGATGGGCAGATGGTGCGGACCACGCCGCACATACACACCCGCTTTGTTTTTGGGGTTTCGACGACATTTCTCCAAGCAATTCCAAAGGAGAGCGTCTTTCTTTACCTAATTGTACACATACACACATATTACGATTTGATTATGTTGCCACCTTTTTGGCTTTAAAAGAAGGATGATTCGGATGAGCTGATCGGCTAACGTTGGACACACCCGAGGATGGCGATTACGGCCAATGTATAGATATATATTACTTACTTTTAATTACGACTACTTAATGATAGAGCCCCCAAATCACCCGCTATTGTGTAATAACACCCAAACCTAAATGCTGGCACACAAAACGCCCGTCATATTGATTGTGAATTAAATAAAAATACTAAATCCAGAACCTTTTTTATTGGTATTCCCTATAATCCCCAAAATTGTAATTTGCTTATGTCTATATTGTCATTTATATATATATTTTTACCTATAACCTAAGGTTCAATTTATTGTATAAAACGATTGGATTACCCGCTTATATTTTCATTAAATATTTTTTTAAACCAAACCGAATGGGATTCCCCGCAACCATTTTATTTGGCCATTTTTGAGCACTGCTCTTGGGGCCATTTTGCAGCTGGACGGCAACGCCCCCGCTGGGAAAAACCTCTGGTAACCTCGGTGCTCCAAATCTGAATCCAGTACAGGACACAAAACAAATACACTCAGCATTTTCAGCCAATCTCAATCAGACATTATAATTGGGTGATATTTTTAGCACTTAGGCGGATCTACAAACAAAAAAAAGAAGGAGGAGGCTTAGGCATTAACTAATCCAGTAACTTCGGCCGATTTAGGACCAGAGCTTCAGGTGGGCACGCTTGGCGTACGACTTCCAGTCGGAGTGGGCGTAGAACTCCTTGAAGATGGGCGTCACCAGGGTATCCTCGGGCAGGGTCTTGAAGACGGGCTCGCCGTACCAGGTGCCCACCTCCCAGCCGGGCACGTTCTTCATCAGCTCGGCCTCCTCGTCCCGGTTGCGGCGCAACTGGCGCAGGAATTCCCGATCCCGCTCGGCCACCAAAATGGGGAAGATGACATTCTGGGCGGATCGCATCTCGATCTCGTCGCGCTTCACCTTCTTGGCGGTCAAGTAGTAGATGCCCAGGCCAACGGCCGTGACGGCCACATAGCTGCCGATCATGGTGAAGCCTGCCGATATCGGGGGTTAGCATATATAGCCTTAATCTTGAGATATTCCATGATATGGCTCACCTGTAAAGTAGCTCTTGGGCGGCACGCGGGCAAAGGGGATCTTCTTGTAGCCGCCCGGCGGGGGCAGATCCTGTTTCGGGGGGCAATGCGGCACGGCCGTCGCCATTGTGACTCCTCCTGCGGGCAATCGGATATGTAAGTTGGCTTTAGCCCCAGAAAAATCACCACTTACGCTCGTTTAAAGGGAAAAAACCTGTCGAAAAGTCAAAAAAATGACGTATTTTGCATAACACCTAGTGATGTAAGTTGTGCCGATTTTCCGATATTCTCCTTGCTATCGATTTGTTAATATCGAGCTTTGCCCTCCGCTAGCTACGGATAGTGGCCTCGCAAACAGTGGGAAAATATCTAATATTATTGGGCATAAGCTTAGCTTTATTTTCAATTTAAAACGAATATTTTGGAATTTTGGTTTGGCCCACAAACTTGGAGTCCTAACAAAAAACACTAAAAAATATGCTAATTTTCAAAATATGGAATATTATACACCTCGTAAAATGAACATATTCGTAGCACAATTCATTCACATCCAAATGAAAATAATAACATTTTCTTTATTCATTTTGTGGAAAGTTTTCTCGTTGTTGATTACTTAAAGACACATTTTCAATGCCGATTTTAATCATTGCATTTTCAACGATTATTAATTATTTAATCGATGTCAGATCTTGATTGCTTGCACTCACTTTCCTGTCAAAATATTTCCATTTCGTACATCACTAGTTTATATTCCTTGAAAAGAGACGACAGTCGGAGTCAAGCAATTTTAATTTCTTTACTTTTTATACTGCCAAAAGACTAATGTTCGTCATTCGCCTTAAAAGTGCCTCTTCGGCCAATTACTTTTATTTGCAACATCGTTTTTTGGCCAAGAAGTCTATTTGGGATGCCAATCCCTTTGGTTTCCAACGATTGGGCTCCAAGCAGAAGGATGATACTACGGGCCAACTGAAGGAGCAGCAGCAGCCGGATCCTGAGGCCTTAAAGCAAGTCTCAGAAGCGCAGGTGAGTTTTTTAAAGGTGATCCATAGCCCGAAAAACATGCTTGAAAAAATTGTGAAGTTGTATAGTAGAACACATACATACATTTGTATGTACTGTATGTAAAATAGGAAATTCTTGTTCTGAAATTGCCAGAAAAACAGCACGCTGCCAAGTTGGGTGGTTCAGGTGGCTCTGAACATTTTAAAAAATGATTGGAGTTGAGGGTTTTTTGGAAAATCAGCAAAGGTCTTTGACCACTATACATTTGGCGGGAAAATGACCAAGTTGGCAGCTCTGATTGGGGGTGGAAAATAATTGAATTCTAGAGTTTTGAAGGAAAAGGAAACACTTGTATTGACAAGAGTTAACCCTTAATCTTATTTAATCAGTTGGCCCTTAATATGCATTTCAAAACCTTGGAGTACAATTCAAAGAGTGGGTGTTTTGGGTGCCAGCCCACCTTTAGTGTGACCTTACGGCAGGCAAGCTGAAAACACCGTTGCGTGGGGTTAGCGGGTGGGTTTTTTTCCCACAGCCCGTTGAAAATGCGCGCGGGCCTTTCAGTTGCCGCGCAGCTGCTAGCCGAGAAACCCACGAAAAGAACACTTCACTTCCAGGAAAAGGAAAGGCAATTTTTTTCTGTGTGTGTCTGTGTTTTTCTCAGTGCGAGAGGGATTTTCTAGCAAGGCGAAAGTGTTTTTCTTCTATCGCAGCCGTACGTAATCGCATTGCCATGTCGCTCTATCGCATTTCCGCACGCAAATTGACCGAGGCACAGGTGAGTTTCCACTAGTATTCTATTGTATTTTCGCTCAGTGTATTTCCAGTGACTCCTGCGATTTAGCACTTCCACCTTTCCTTCCCGTTTCGAATAACTGTAAAGTGTGTCGCTTCTGTTGTTAGCACCTTCTACCTCTTCCCCCTCTTATCCTTCTCCTACTCCGCCTCCGCCTCCTTCCCGCTCTTCTTCTTCCACGCACGTCACGCTGGTATAAAAAAAAGAAGAATTTCCAGCCATGTGCTTGCGATTAAGAAACTTTATTCGCTTCATTGTTGTTGGCAAATGATAAGTGCCCCCTTGCGGGTGTGTGGGTTCGTGTCGTCGTCTATGTGTGTTTTGTTCTAATACATTACATAATCGCCAAATGAAATTCGCCCATTGCTTTTTTGGCAACATCGAAATGTCGCTAAAAATAAAACTCTGTTTTTTCGGGTTTAACGAACTCTTCTCTTTGGCCCGCCCAATTTCTTTGGGTTCTTTCATTTTATTTGGGAAATTTCCACAAGTCCGGCTTACATTTTTTTTTTGGCCTTACCTTACCTTATTCTTGTAAATTTACAACAACAAAAACAACTGCCACGGCGCAGAGCGCAATTAAGGAAAAGAGAGTAAGAGAGTGTGTCGAGAGAGAAGAGAAAAATACAGAGACTCTTTTCCCCCTCTCTTTTGTTCCGTTTTCCCATGCGTGTCACTTTATTGTTGTTGTTGCCAAAAAAGAAAGACAAAAAAAATACCATCTCGTTCTTGCAAAAGAGAAGTGTCCGCCGAATGACCTTAAAGGAGAAGGAGGAGCAGCCCGCCCACTCACCAAACACCACCCACCACCCACCGCCCACCGGCAACGATGCACATTGCATGTATGTGGATTGCATAATGTTAAACAACAAAAAAATCGAAAAGTTAAAATCTGCGATTTGATAATTGAAAAATCAATATCACACGCACACAGTCGGCTGGCACACATACACACGAAAAAAGGGCTCGCAGGACGAGCCTCCTTTTGATTTTTTTCGGGGGTGTTTTTCTTTGACCTGCGTTGGGTAATATTTATACCGGAAAAAATTAAGGTCATCCTAAGACGTGTGAAAAAAAATTGAAAATACATCTATGGTATAACAAGTCTAGCATAAAAAATTCTAGGTCAGATTGGCATTAAAATAATTCGACTTTCATAAATTAGATTGAAAAGGATCGATTTTTTTTATAAAAAAAAATAAAACTTATTTCTCACCGTGTAGATTGGCCAAATGTTATGCACATTCCCTGGTTCTCGTTCTTCTTGTTCTGCCGACGCTGGCAGAGTGCCAAAAAAACGCTTTGACGTCGGCAGAGGCGATTTATTTAACTTTTGTTTTTGCCATTTACTTGTTTTGTCTATAAATAATGGCTGTAAATGTTAAGCCACATAAGGCTTTTGACTAAAAAGCTTAATTTGTTTTCTGTCTACTTTCCATTTAATATTCAAGCAGGTTTTTTTTTTATTTTAGGCAACAAATTATAAAAGGTCCCCCTTTTTTGCTCAGTGTTTTGGCCAAAAACAAAATAATAAACGGTTGTTTTATTTGCGTTTGACGTAGCTTGTCGAAATGGCAACACGCGAAATGTTTTATCGCCTCTTCGCTAATACGTCACAAATCGTGACGATTCTTACGTAACGCCCACGGCCCTTTTTCCCCAAAACAAACTAAGAGAGAGAGAGTAAAGAAAGTAGAGAGAGTGTAGAGATAGAGAGGGCAAAAAACAGAAGAAAAAGCGAAAAAGTAAACAGATGATCAGCGATTGCATAAGAGCAAATGCATAATTTATACTCTGTATATGTACACATCATTTGTATATTAAGTTTTACGGTCGCAGTGGATTTTTTTTTGATTAGGGAATCTAAATCGGGACTTTATGACCAGTGGGCAAAGCTCAAGTGGACCTTTTCCACCTGGATGGATGGATTACCAATCCAGAATTCTGGTTATGCGCGAGATAACGCCGCCCAACGGGCGTCATGGAAAGTTTGAGGTCTCGAGATATATACGAGATAAAGGGGGCCCCAAATCTTCGCATCGATGGGGGCGTATTATGTGAGGTATTTCGCCAGAAGAGTTCCATATATAAATAGATAAAACTTTATAGAGAAAGTATTCAAGCTTTATCGTCGGTACAATAAATAATTAATAGAACTATCATATATTACCATTTCTTATCAATAAACCTATGCTTTTGGTTATCAGAACAGGGTTTTTCTCACCAATAAAAGCTTTATTAGGCAGACGTTGATAGTATGTGAAATGTTCATACTTACTTTTTATATGCTAAGTTAAATAATCAACGGATTGCAATAAACCTATTGATTTTACAATAATATGTTTTAATCTAAGGGTTATGCAATGCAAGTGGCTCAATAACAGTGTCACCTTGGCGGGACAATGCATTGTTTAACTGCATTTAAATACCTCGTAAACATATTAATCTTATTAATATTTGCAAACAATGATGCTAAGTACTGTCCCCAATTGAGGAAATATCAGCATAACTGATAATTGTACTCTCTGGTACACCTATCCGAAAAAGCCCCGCCCTGTCTCTGTAAAAGCCCCCTTTTATGACCCCCCTCCATTTCGGCCTGATAAGCGTGACAAATTTGCTGCTGGGCACATGATCGGTAGACGTAGCCATATCGCTGATAAAGCGGACACGCAAAGCCCCCCAACCAACTGGGAAAATAAGGTGTTAACTCAATCAGTTTTTTATTTTTATTTGTGTTTATATTTAGGCGATTTCGCAATGCGCAAATGAGCAGGATTCAACATGCAAATTTGTTGTCAGGTAACAAATAAACAACGGTTTCAAGGCGGTTTTAAAGATACTAATGTATCTAAATGATTGATGGACTGGGCAGAAGTCGAAACAAGGCTATATGTTTGAAATAAGAACTTTTTCCTATTTCCGATCCGTGATATTAAATGCCATAATCACCATCTATTTTCATTGTTCGTAGTCAATTTCTTTAAATATACTGAAAAAGCGAGTAGCCCATTTCGCTTATCAGTTTTTCAAGCTTTTTCCCTTTCATTTCTTGAATACACTGAGATTACAAAAAATTATGTGAAAACTTTTCAAGAACCGGAATTTAGCCAAAGTAATATGTAAATTAGTCTCTGCTTACGACGCATGCCTACTTTTCTCGCAAAAGCCCCATTATGATCTTTGCTTAGTCAGAATTTTTACAGCTTTTAAATGACTGACTGAAGGGAAAACATACGACCCGGCAACAACAGACGTCTGAAGTTTGTTCAACTGATCCGATCCAAACCGAACCGATTTTAGTTAAGTTGAGTTGAGTTAAGTTGAGTGGCGGGATTACGTCAGGCGGTACTTTCAATGCGATGCGATTGTGTGATGTCTGTTTACTTTCGGAGACACAATAAAAACTATAGAGAATGGCAAACGTAATTAAGACGATTAACTCGGACTGCAATTATTAGACGACTGACAAGCGGTCTCTAATAGCAGAAATCATCAAACCGAATTGAAAACGTCACGCGAGGCAAGGAGAACCCAAGGTTCTAAAATCCAAAGCCCGCAACCCCTTTGAAAAACCCCCATTACCATCCCGATCCTCAACCCATTACAGTGAGATCAAACAGTTTTCGTGATGATCATTCAAATGCAATGGAACTACAGTGATCGTTCGGAAATGGGCTTTCTAGTTGCATGGAGTTAATTGCGAATTTATATGGTTCATATGCCTTATACAATAGGAAAATTACACTAATTAACTTATTCAATTGGGTTCGGTGTTCTATAAATTATTAGGAAATTAAAAAGAAACGTACTATAATACCATACCATGTAAATATTACTTTCCTTAAAATGTAACCTTACGAACTAGTATATTTTCTTCCTGAGGAAGCATCACTGTAGTCTGGGTGCGAGAACACTTGATTCCAGCTCCATCGATACGGGGTCATCTGCGGCTCACCTCGATGACAACTCTGCTCTGTACTCGTGGCTCGAGGCTCGAGGCTTTCCCGGCATTTTCAAGGTTTTCCGTTTTTGCACCTTAATGAAGTATACTAACATATATTTCTGTATATTGCATAATTACTGGATCGTTCGATCGTTTTGGGGCGGCGAAAGGAAGTCTGCTGGCGCCGTCAAAACACGCGACTCCGATTTCGAATCGCTTCCTTGATGACAACGCAACCTACGACTAAGACTAAGACTAAGACTAAAACTAAGACTACGACTGCGACTGCGACTACGACTAGTTAGACATGCGATAATTGCCGGCGCGTGAGACCTTGAATTTCATTTGGTTTACTTGCCGTTCGGCTTATCAGCAGATGAACGCGCGCCTCTGCGCCAGATAATGACCCCTCAAATTGTATACAAATGTATTCTCGACCAACTTGAGGCCCGTTTCAAGTACCCCCCTCAAAAAAAAAATAAAATAATGAAGCATTAGTGATTAGATAGCAAACGTAGTGTGGTATATGGGTGTATTGTGGTGCGTGGTAATTGGTATTCCATTTTATTAGTGTTATGCAAGCCTTTCTCCACCATTCGAGCCACAAACCGCACACCTGACCGCTCAATTATCATTTTCTTCGGGGGATATATGGTCGTTTTCTTTGCGGCTTGCCCAGCATCAGCTACAAAACGACGTTTTTCGCGATCTCTTGGGTTTCCGATTTCACAATGCACTGGGGAAAAATATTGTGTTAAAAAACTAATATTATAATGAATTCCGAACGAATAAAATTTATTTAATCGAAGAGATAACAGGTTTTAAATAATATCATGTAATTCTTTAAGGAATTATCTCATATGTATGAAAAATAATTAATCCAAAATAAAAGTATTTCGAACTGTTTACTTCCAAGTTACACATTTTTGATGTCTTATCTGACTGCAGAGTCTAGCAGATTAGATAAGAGATTTTATAAACATACATATACTTTTCTTCCAGTGCCTCTTTAGTGGCAACGTAAACCAACTTTTGCGGTTGGCAACCAGTGTTATTTCCCCCCTATATCATCCTGTTTTCGGTATTCTACTCGGCTATTATCGGGTAATTAATACATGCACCTCAAAAGCTGGCCTAAAATGCTCTTATCAATGAATTTGGGGGCTTTATGTTGAAGAGAAACCGGTTGCTTTGGTCCGCAAATCATGCAATTCAATTTTGCAGGCGGCGCCACAAGTTCACTTGGTTAATTGAATTTGTTGACCCACTGGCCGCGCAACAAGAAAAAATAAAACAAAAAACATGGGGGTTGTTTCTGTGGGGGAAAAAGGGGGCCACTACGGCTGTCAATCAGAAGTAAAATCGCACTTTGCGCCGGCCGAGCGGAATCGGAATTGAAATTGGACTCTCGGGCTCAAAACGCGGCTCGGAATTCCATTTCCATTTCGTTTCGATTTACGAATGCCAACGCGTGGCATAAGATCACCAGGGGCGTTCTGGGAGGGGGGTTCAATATTTTAATTGCTTTCAATGTATTTTGGTAAACAAAATATTTTCGAGTTTTTAATACTAACTACAGGGGATCAAAATAATAATATAACATACATATATGGTTTATTACAAACTACCTGAGTAAAATATTTCCATATGATCTATAGAAACTTAAAGTATGATACAATTGTTAACTGAAGAGCCCCCATATCTACGCCCCAAGGCGAATATCATCTCAGATTAATTTTTTGGTTCTGCCTTTTTGATTTGGGCTTTCGACTCGTGCCGATCTCCCACTTGGTAACTTCCGAAAAAGTAAAAAAAAATTCCGATTGACTCAGGTGTTGTGGGCGGTTCAGTGAACCGCCAATTAAGTTGAATTGAATTAAATCCCGGCCACTGTTGGTGCCCCAAAGTTCGTCAAACCACGGGGAACTAGTTCGTTGACGCACCACCCAGCTGAGTCATGGGAATAATGTTGGAGTGCTGACATAACGACCGAGTGCAGCTCTATCAGCCTTATCAGCTGAGCTCAGACTGTCACAGACGGCGGATTACGAACCCCCATACTTGGTGCACATGCATTTCGCCTTGTACTTGAAGCGCCGTTCAATGACGGCCAAAACGGCCGATTGCAATCGATAACAGTGGCCGGAAGTGCTCGTAGTTCTCGGGCTTTTGCGAATTAGCGGGATTGCCTGTGCGCTCTGGGGGCTAGCAACCGAGTTTCGATACAATTCCTATGATTTTGAATTATTAAAAAAAATATTGAAATCCAATATGGCTATCATTTTATATACAACATGTTTATTATCACAACCCAAATACATACCGAAACTGGTTTGTTGTCAGTCGCCAGTTGTAAAGTCCCCAGAAGAAAGGGACTTCCAAGAAAGAGCCCAACTCTCCAAAATCCCCCCCACTGACTCACTGTCTTCTCATAAGAAATTCCCCCAATAAAAGCCCCGAACTCATCTTGATTTCCACATTGATCCCTTCCAGAAACTGCCAAATGTGGGTGCCTACGTTCGCATGATCTCCGCCGATGGCAAGAGCCTGCGCGACGTGCTGACCGCCAAGGTGCCGCAGGAGCAGGAGCGCGTGAAGAACTTCCGCAAGCAGCATGGCGCCACCAAGATGGGCGAGACGACCATCGACATGATGTACGGCGGCATGCGCGGCATCAGGGCCCTGGTCACCGAGACATCGGTGCTGGACGCGGACGAGGGCATCCGCTTTCGCGGGCTCTCCATTCCCGAGTGCCAAAAGGTCCTGCCGGCCGCCGATGGCGGCACCGAGCCCCTGCCCGAGGGTCTCTTCTGGCTGCTGCTCACCGGCGAGGTGCCCACCAAGGCCCAAGTCCAGCAGCTGTCCCGCGAGTGGGCCGAGCGTGCTGCTCTGCCCCAGCATGTGGTCACCATGTTGAACAACATGCCGACCACCCTGCACCCAATGTCGCAGTTCGCCGCCGCCGTCACCGCCCTGAACCACGACAGCAAGTTCGCCAAGGCCTACTCGGATGGTGTGCACAAGAGCAAGTACTGGGAGTACGTCTACGAGGACAGCATGGATCTGATTGCCAAGCTGCCCGTGGTGGCTGCCACCATCTACTGCAACACCTATCGCGGCGGCAAGGGCTCCCGCTCGATCGACTCCAGTCTGGATTGGTCGGCAAACTTTGTGAAGATGCTCGGCTACGACAATGCCCCCTTCACCGAGCTGATGCGTCTCTATCTGACCATCCACAGCGACCACGAGGGTGGCAACGTGTCCGCCCACACTGTCCACTTGGTGGGCTCGGCCCTCAGCGATCCCTACCTGTCCTTTGCCGCCGGCCTGAACGGTCTGGCTGGTCCCCTGCACGGCCTGGCCAACCAGGAGGTGCTCGTGTGGCTGCGCAAGCTGCAGAAGGAGGCCGGCAACAATCCCTCGGAGGAGCAGCTGAAGGAGTACATCTGGAAGACCCTCAAGTCCGGACAGGTGAGGGTTTCTCCCTATGCTATAAGCCCACAAGTAGTTCGGTATACAGATGGGACGATGCCAATTTTAAATATTCTGTTCTCCACTTTATGTAATACATATATGGAATACAGAATGCTTATTATAAAAGACAAGAAAACATTCAAAACAAAAATAATGGCCGTCCAGATATATTATATTTTTTCCCCCTTAAGCATTTCTGTTGGCATGATTAATTTCTTATTTTTGGATACGCCTTAAGAAAGTTTTTTTGTTTTTGCCAAAATATAATGCCAAAGATGTTAATCAACCTATTTTGAAACGTTTTTCAGGTGGTGCCCGGCTACGGACATGCCGTGCTCCGCAAGACCGATCCCCGCTACACCTGCCAGCGCGAGTTCGCCCTGAAGCACCTGCCCGAAGATGAGACCTTCCAGCTGGTGTCCAAGATCTACAAGGTGGTGCCACCAATCCTGACCGAGACCGGCAAGGTGAAGAACCCCTGGCCCAATGTAGATGCCCATTCCGGTGTGCTGCTGCAGTACTACGGCATGAAGGAGATGAACTACTACACGGTGCTCTTCGGTGTGTCCCGCGCCCTCGGCGTGCTGGCCTCCCTCGTCTGGGACCGTGCCCTCGGCCTGCCCATCGAGCGCCCCAAGTCGTTCTCCACCGATCTGCTGGTCAAGATGGTCCAGAAGTAAGCAGCTGGAGCAGGAGGAGCGGGAGAAGCGGGAGGAGCTGGAGTTGATCCTTTTATAGCCAGAGGGAGATGGACGGACGACGGATGCAGAAGCTGTAGATTGTAATTGACGAGGGACGAGGGACGAGGTACGAGGGAGAGATTCGATTGGATTGTACTGGATCGGATCGGGATTTGGATATCGATATGACGACGCTGATATTGAGAGAGTTGGATATGTGTAGTTGAGGAGAACAGCAACCAAATACGAACCAATAGGAAAAACCAGAAGAAAACTGCAACACACTGCAACAACCGCAAAACAATAAGTTGGAAATAAGGCAGAAACTTATTTTTAGTAGTAAAATAATTAACGAAGAGAAAACCAACAAGCAAACACTTAATTAATTGTATAAGCTATATATATACATACACGATTGACTATATATATAGGGACGGACAGGCAGAGAGAGAATGTTTGCGCCTATTGTTTATGTTCAGCATTTCCCCACCCTCGAACGCCCAAACACCCATCCTCCCAATCTTCCAATCTCCCACGATCCCCACTCTATATTTAGTTTGTTATGTTTTCATCCCAGCCGATCGACTAACCACGACCTTACTGCTTTAACAACCCCCAAAACGCACGACCCACCAGCACCACCCCGCCTGAAAACCTAAAAAAATTACTAACTTGATAACATTTTACTTTTAATTTAACTATAATTTATTATGCAAACAAGATACAAACGAGAGAAATACAATACAAAAACAAGTGTAAAGAAACCAACAAAAACATTTAAAAAAACTCAATAAAAAAACAGAACAATAATAATATTATGCATAGAGAGTAGTTATTGCCAACTCCACCAGTGGAATCTGCAAAAGCGTTCGTTCATTGCCGTGCAAGTGTATTCGAGAAAGCAAACCCACAATAAATCTTAGCAAACTTGAATCGAAGATCGTGTGTCCATTTTCCCCAGTCAGTCAGTTCCCATCGCAAGTGAAAGGGTGCGGAAAGTCGGCGACGAATGCCGATTCGATTCGATTGTCACTGCCAGTGTGACCAAAGTTGCAAGTACTGCATGGGCTAGTCACATGTCATTTCAGTAGGTGACAAATTTTAACATGCAAATATTTTCACTAACTGAAATATCTGAGATTATGATGGGGCTTAAAGATCACATGCCCCAGAAGATTTTCGACATAACTGCAAATGTGCAAATTTATTATTAAAACAAGCAAATATACTCGGAATGAAATAAATTTAAAATTTCTCCTACAAAATGTCTCGGAAAGCTTTTCATTTTCGGAGGGAAACTTGGTTGCCCTTTTTTAATTTGGTTAAACATGCACATATTGGTTAACTACATACTGAGGCAATAAAAATGGTGACTACATGGATAAACTTAACGCGACATAAAATAACAAGATATGATGATACAAATAAATAAATAAAATAGTTTGGATGGGGGATTAGCGCCTGTTCCTTGGGTCCACGAACTCCTCCTCCGGCATAAGCGGCAATCCCACCGTATATGTTTCGTTGCTGCCATTGAGAGGGTCACCGCCACTGGGATCATTTCGGCACCGAACACAGGGCCCCAGGAAGCGGAGGACCCGACTGCCCAGGGTGTTCCTTTTGCTCCTGAAGTGGACATGGGACTGCGCCATCGTGTGGACCAGCAGATGTGCCTGGCTATCGTTGATGCTTTGGCTTTGACTCGTGTCCACGGTCTGATTCGGATTCTGGCTGAGATTGATGATCTCGATGACGCGGTTGTTGCGCTTGTCGAAGTAGTAGTTGCCGCCACGTTGACCCCACTGCCTGGCGGGGGGCCGCTGCTCCTCCTCGTGGCCCTCCACCTCGATGGCAGAGTCGTTGCTGCTGGGCTGACTGGTCTCCGAGTTGTTGGGCGCCGGAGCTCTTCTGACCAGGGCCCTGGACGCGGAGTTACCAGGAGCCTCGCCTTTAGTAAGGAAAAATGGTTAAAAATAAATATAAATTCTTTTCCGCCATATTTTAATTCTGTATTGATACGGAAAATGTTCAACTGCAATATATATAAAGCTGATTCTTACCGGTTCCGCTGCCATCGGCTTCAGTGCTGACACTGCTGAAGTCCAAGGATTGCGGGCGGATGGCTTTTTTGCTCTGGTCGGGATTCTGCGGTATTCGAACCGGTGCCGCCACACTGAGCAGGGCTAGCTCGATAGATCCATCGCTGCTGTTGTAGGTGAGGTTGCCTAGCGGCAGGGGCGTTTTCAGGGCGTTGCCCGAGGAGCAGATGGTGGCCATGGCCAGCAAGGGTTCCGTCTGTGTGGCCTTGGCAACGCCCGCCGGCGGCCAGGAGTTCAGTGACCTCAGCGAGTGGCTCTGGTGGCGCCTCAGCTTTTGCTGGCAGTCGCTTAGCTCTGTGCGCATGATCTCGAAATTGCGCTTCATCTGTATGTTATCAGCCATCTTCTTGTCCAGGCTGAGCTGGATATGCTCGTTGTATGCCTGCAGGTGCTTCTTCTCGTGCTGCAGGCGCTCCCTGTCCTGCTGCAGGCTCTCGATCTCCGCCAGCAAGCGCTCGTAGCTGCAGCTTGAGTTGCAATTGGAATTGGAGTGCGAATGTGTGGGGGAGCTGTCCATCTTAAAGTGGCCATCGTGGTCTCCGTCCCGCCGCGAATTGGGCGTCAGGTATTCGGGCATGGAGCTGTGCCGCTGGAAGCCGGAACCGGACGCATTGCGTCGCTTCTGGTCCTGGGCATGGATCTCCGCTATGTACTGGCCCACCTTGCTGGTCACGTGCTTGAAGCGGCGCTTCGTGTAGGCCGAGTGGATGTCCTGGTAGGACACCGCCTTGCTGCCGCGCCCGCTGCCCAAAGGAACCTTCTCGTCACCCAGTTGGCCTGTTGGAAAGGGGAGTCGTGGCATTATAGGTTTGATACGAGAATAATTTCGGGTCGGGGTTCAATTACTATCGCCGAAAAGAACATTACTTGGATTATTGCAATATTGACTATTTTAGTTGATTTTAAAACCCCGTCAAACAGCCGCCTATAACAAATTTCTTTAATGAACAAGTAAGCAACATTATAAGTTGAACTTATAAATTTAAAGAAAATAGAGTGGACCACTTTTGGGACACCTTACCGTCATCGACGTCGACGTCATCCTCCTGATCACGACCCGCGGGATCGCTGACACACGTTTTGGCGCTCTTGTTGGCCACATCCGCGTCCCCATCTCCGTCCACATCCGCATCCGCGTGGCAGATCTCCAAAAATGGCGACGCATTCCGTTGAAAGGCGGCCGGCTGATGGTGCTCCGAAAAGTAGCTCCTCCTGGCGGCCTGACCACTCGGATTGTTCAGGTGGTCAAACAGCTCGTCCGCCGGAAAGCTCTCGTCCTGCAGACTCATCCTTGGACGCACGAAGCGCAAAAATAAACGGAAAAATAGGAAATACAAGAAATACAAGGGACAAAATTACAAAGCGCCAATGACAATTGGAATTCTAAATTGGAGCGGGAAAGGCACCGTTACTTTGCGGCCTATTGGAATCAGCGCTGTATTTCCACCATCTGGTATATTTTCAGTATATATCGGCGTTCGTCGCTGCCAGCCCTGGTTGGCACTATGCGATATATCGATACTATCGCGAGAGGTTACCCAGCTCTAGACGTTACATCATGTGCATTTTAGACTAAAAATTTAATAATATTAACTAAATTTTGGGAAATTGCCGCATTGCTTGGCGCCGGAAATGTACGGTTGTTGGAAGTTCGATTCACGCTATCCACGCATTTCCACGTCCATTTCCATTTGAAAACGCAGCAGCTGAGAGCGGGGCAGCACGAACAAGATTAACCGGAGTCGAGGAAAATAAATACAAATATAAAACAAATACAAATATGAGCGAGAGTAGCAACAATCAGGTTAGTTGATAGAGCGAGAGGGCAGGTGATGTTCAAGTTTATCAATTCGACTCACGCACACCAATGCAAGTTGTCAAAAAAGAAGAAAACATTAGAATTTATTACTTTTCGCCTGTATTTGTTGCAGCGCAATTGGACCACGTGTGTGTGTGTGCAATTTGCGTTGCGGTATTTTCCTTTTCGCCATACACAGTGCACACTCGATAAGGTGAACGCAAGAATAATGCAAATATTAATATGAGTGCCTTGAAATACAAGCAAATTGAGATGTTATGATTTATTTTGTAGCTTTAAAGCTCATTGTTAAATGTGATTTTCAGTAATATTAGCTGCCTTTTTAGTACCCACAAGTTCACTCCTTCCAGTGCGCACTGTATTTTTCCATTAGTATATTTATTTTTCCCTTCGTTTTGCCTTTGGTGTCATAATTTGTTCATTTATTTTCATTTCAGTTTTGTGACGTTGATTTTTGAGCAAAGACCCCAAAATATATAACACACAAGAAGCAAAGATATTTGAGTTTTGAGTTTTTTGGCGGAGGAGGAGCGTGTGTCTGAAACCGAATCCCTAGGCTGCATACCTTTTGTTTTGTATCGCAATTCTCTTCTTCCCCAAAAAACCAACCAATAAACCATAAACCAACCGTAAAACCAACCGAATCTTGAACCGGATCCCGAAATGGCGGCCTACCTGAACCGCACCATCTCGCTGGTGACCGGGCAAACGGGCCCCGCCGCCGACGACGACCGCCACTCCTCGTCGACGGACACGGTGGACAAATCCTCCCCCGGATCCCCCCTGTCCCGGCTCAACTCGACGCTGCAACCGTCGGGCTCCACGACGGCCGCCAACTTGCTAACCGAATCGCGGCTCTATCAATCCAACGACAAATCGCCGCTCCAGATCTTCGTGCGTGCGAAGAAGAAGATCAACGACATCTACGGGGAGATCGAGGAGTACGTTCATGAGACGACCACGTTCATCAACGGTGAGTTGGCCGGGAATTACCCCTTCGAATACGCCCAGAAAGCGCAGTACTCTGATTCCTATGTTAGGGAACCCTTTAGAAACCCCTTGAAAATCTGCATAAGTTCCAGATATAAAGAATTTGTTTAAAATATCTTTAGATAAAAAACTTCCTTAACTTCTCTTAGTTTATTTAACGTCTATTCTTCATTATTCGATTCAGTGTTCCGTTTTGTATAGAAAACCCTTCATATGAAGATAAAATCGTCCCTGATACATCAGGATTAGGCTTCACTTACTTAGTGTACTTAACCTTTATAAGTTAATACGAGAAATGGTGAAAAATTGTTCCTTATCTGAACACATAACATACCACCTTTGGTGAAATACCTTCCAATGATCACTTTTGAACCCTTTATCCAGCCTTGCATGCGGAGGCAGAGATCGTGGACAAGGCGGAACGGGAGCTGTTCGAGAGCTATGTGTACAAGGTGGCCGCCATTCGCGAGGTCCTGCAGCGGGATCACATGAAGGTGGCCTTTTTCGGGCGCACCTCTAACGGCAAGAGCTCGGTGATCAACGCCATGCTGCGCGAGAAGATCCTGCCCAGCGGCATTGGGCACACCACCAACTGCTTCTGCCAAGTGGAGGGCAGCAATGGCGGCGAGGCGTACCTGATGAAGGAGGGATCCGATGAGAAGCTCAATGTGGTGGTAAGTGGTGGCATCATCGCTCGAGGAAGAATGCGAATATCGTTGGCTTCATTACCCCATTCAACCTTTAACCGAACAGAACATCAAACAACTGGCGAACGCTCTGTGCCAGGAGAAGCTCTGTGAGAGCAGCCTGGTGCGCATCTTTTGGCCCAGGGAACGCTGCAGTCTGCTGCGCGACGATGTCGTGTTTGTGGACTCGCCTGGTGTGGATGTGTCCGCCAATCTGGACGACTGGATCGACAACCATTGCCTCAACGCCGACGTCTTTGTGCTGGTCCTGAATGCCGAGTCCACGATGACGCGCGCGGAGAAGCAGTTCTTTCACACCGTCTCCCAGAAGCTGAGCAAGCCGAACATCTTCATCCTCAACAATCGCTGGGATGCCTCGGCCAACGAGCCCGAGTGCCAGGAGTCGGTACGAACGTCTAGGAAGCCCCCTAGTTAGTCCATAGAGTCTCTTCCAGACCCTGCATTTCCATTAGCATGGTAAACGAATCGTTGTCATCACCAATCACCAACGATTCGTTTCCCAGCGGCTTCTCGGCCGCATCTCATTAGTCTCTCTTGGACCCTTTTTGTATGCCTGTTGTCTCTCTATGTTGATGTGTGTCTTTTGTTTTTGTTTACCACCCAACCAACCAATCAAACAACCAACCAACTATCCAATGTATTCAACGCCAGGAACTGGCCAAGGTAATGAATGAGCTAGACCCAGTAAAACAAACCGCTTGCTTGGCCCCGAAAAACCCGATCCACTCTGCTTCCGTTTCCAAACGAGCTTCGGCTATGGCCGATGAAAATCCTTGTCTACTTGTTTTCTTCCCTTTGCCGATCCTTGAAAACTCATTATTTGCACATTCTAATGGGTCTCGCCATTGACAGGTTAAGTCCCAGCACACAGAGCGCTGCATCGATTTCCTCACCAAAGAGCTGAAGGTGAGCAACGAGAAGGAGGCCGCCGAGAGGGTGTTCTTCGTTTCCGCCCGTGAAACGCTGCAGGCGCGCATCGAGGAGGCCAAGGGCAATCCACCGCATATGGGTGCCATTGCCGAGGGATTCCAGATGCGATACTTTGAGTTCCAGGACTTTGAGCGCAAGTTCGAGGAGTGCATCTCGCAGAGTGCCGTGAAAACCAAGTTCCAGCAGCACAGTTCGCGGGGAAAGAGCGTCTCGGGAGACATGAAGTCGATGCTGGACAACATCTACGAGCGGATCACCATATTCCGTAATCTGAAGCAGGACCAAAAGAACATGCTCACCGAACGCATCCAGGGCACCGAGACGCAAATGATGCAGGTCACCAGGGAAATGAAAATGAAGATCCACAACATGGTCGAGGAAGTGGAGGAGAAGGTATCGAAGGCCCTCAACGAGGAGATCTGGCGCCTGGGCGTTCTCATTGACGAGTTCAACATGCCCTTCCATCCGGAGCGTCTGGTTCTCAATATCTACAAGAAGGAGCTCAACGCGCATGTGGAGAGCGGCCTGGGCAGCAATCTGCGTGCCCGCCTCTCCATGGCGCTGGCCATGAATGTGGAGTCCGCCCAGACGGAGATGACCGACCGGATGCACGCCCTGGTGCCCAACGAACAGCTCCTGGCCACCAGCACCAAGATGGTGGTGCGCACGCAGCCCTTCGAGATGCTGTACTCGCTGAACTGCCAGAACCTCTGCGCCGACTTTCAGGAGGATCTGGAGTTCAAGTTCAGCTGGGGCATTGCGGCGATGATCCAGCGGTTCACCGGCAAGGTGCGTGAGCGCAGCAAGAAGGGTCAGCCGGCGCTGGTCAACCGACAGAGCAGTATTGGAGTGAGTGTTTTTTTGGGCCACATCCCCATGTGCTTATCTTCACTACATCCCCATATCTTTCCGTTCCACAGCACAGCGTATCGACGCCCGCCACCACGCCCGTGGAGGCCACTCCCGTGTGCCTGCTGCCCGCTCCCGTTGTGGCCGGCATTACGCCCGAACAGCTGTCGCTGATCTCCCGCTTCGCGGTGTCCTCCATCGGTTCGCAGGGCACCGTGGGCGGCCTCGTCGTCGCCGGCATCGTAAGTGTGTCCCAGCTCCTTGTAACGCCTCTTGTGCTCACAAACGCCGCAAGCAGGTGCTATTGAATAGCTATGTGCTGAACACCCATCACTTGCAGATGCTGAAAACGATCGGCTGGCGCGTCCTGGTGGGCGTGGGCGCCCTCTACGGCTGCATCTACCTGTACGAGCGCCTCTCGTGGACCAACTCGGCCAAGGAGCGCACCTTCAAGGGGCAGTATGTGCGCCATGCCACCAAGAAGCTCAAGATGATCGTCGACCTCACCTCGGCCAACTGCAGCCACCAGGTGCAGCAGTGAGTAGTGATCCAATGAGTAGAGGCATCCCACTTAATATGAATCTATCTTCATCCCAGGGAGCTGTCGAGCACCTTCGCCCGCTTGTGCCGCACCGTTGACACCGCCACCACGGACATGAACGACGAGCTCAAGACACTGGACTCTCAGCTCAACATCCTGGAGGCGAACCAGAAGCAACTGAAGCTGCTCCGCAACAAGGCCAACTACATACAGAACGAGCTGGACATCTTCGAGCATAACTATATATCGCCGCAGTAGGGGGAGGAGTGGAAAGGTGGAGCACACGGGGTGGCGAACACTATCAGGAGCACCAATGGAAAATCATAGGAATCGAGGAGAAGCAAAACACCCAAACAATTGACTACGTTTTTGTTGCTCAACTCTCAGTTAGTTTTTTCCCCCCACTTTTTTTTATGTAAATGCATGATTGGGCCAAATGTTTTGGTACAACTTTATTCGCTTTTGTTTAAACGCATTGTTGTTGTTGCTGAGCATTATTTTAATTCCTAACTTGCACTATTGCTAGTGTGATTATTTGATTTTTTTGTAATTGTTGACCCCGCCCGAAGGCATATATAGAGATGTATCTATCCAAACACACTGTGAGCATGGCCGGGTGCCATGGAAAACCAAGTTAAGATGAGTTATATAACGTCAAGCACGCCCTGTAAAGCGAATGCCCCCTATTTACCTTACCTTCTAATAGAAAGTCTTGTAATTATACGTATTGTTTTTGAATTGGATGCCAGATGCTAGATGCTAGATGCTAGAATAATGAAACGGCTCGTTTTGGGGCAATGCAAACACGATATAAATAGTTGTTGATGTTGCAAAACAGATAAATGATTCATGAACGAAAACGAAACGAAATAAAAGATATTTATGTAAGGAAATAGCGATTACTCTGGGCTTGGTTATTATATCCCAACAAAAGTGAAAGTACATCTTGGGTTTGGGATCTGCGTTTCAACGAACGAGAAAGAGATGGATGATAAGGATATGTATAAAAAAGGCGGGATTTCTTACCCTTACAAACCCTATCCCCATTACCCATTGATTGCAAAACGCATTTCAAATTGTCTTTTGTTTTAATCGTATCGTTTTGATCGGGATCACACATTTGGTTACTCTTAGTTCTTGTTGTGCCACTTGATTTCTTCAAAGCATTACTAATACAAAATGTACAAAATATATAGTTCGTGTGTTGTTCACAGAAATAAATAAGTTTGGAATACAAAATATGGTGAATTGCTTAAATGCGGCAGCTGCTGCGGCATCCATTACCAGTAAATACAATACTTGGATATACTTCCTAAACAAATCGAATCTATACTTTCTTTTTGGTCTTGCACTTTGACTTGCCGAAAACAAATAACAAAAGGTTCAACTTTGATCTTACTAAATAGATATGTGGTTGGCCATGCAAATGGGCCGCAAATTGCAGGTGTGTGTTCCGAGTTTTCTGGAGGTGTTCCGAGTTTCTTGAGTGTTAAGTGTGTGTGTGTGTGTGTAGAAGGCGTTTTGAGGGTGGACAAATGGATCAGTCAGTCGAAGTCGAAGTCGAAGGCTCACCGCTGGTCCACAAGCGTAGTTGATTGTTTGCCACGATGCCGAATCAGTGGGCGGATCGTATTGGATCGGTATATGGTGTATATGCATATATATATAGTATGGTATATCGTATCACACGCTGGCCGGGGGCACTGATCGTTTTAGAGGAAGTAGGGCGTGGTGTTCTGCTTGGGTATCACGCGCTCCGCGTCGGGCACCGCCAGGAAGATCTTCGTCTGCCTCTGCTGGGCCGTCTCGAAGCTGAGGATCGCCGCCACGTTCCCGCAGCGGTAGCAGTAGTTCGGTGCCGACCACACGGTCACCAGCTTGCCCTCGAACATGTACTTGATGCCCTCGTTGACCAGCTGGTGCGCCCGGCAGATGAGGTCCAGGTTGTTGATCGCCATGAAGTCCTTGGTCACGTTGTGCCCGAACAGCCAGCCCGCGCCACGTGGACTCTGGCCCCAGTACTCCATGTCCTCGGGGTCGGACCACACCAGGTCACAGAATGCGCCCTTGTACGGTATCTCGCCGTTCCGTTCGATCGTCCGGATCTGGTCCAGGGTGATGATTTCGGGACTCAGGCCGCCGTGCACGCACAGCACCTCCTCGTCGATGATCTGCAGGAAAGGGAATGGATTATTGAGGCCATACAGCGTGCCATAGTGGCAAAGCTAATCATACAGCGGCAATGGTGAGCAGATCGAAGACCTTGCAGCAGTACTTCCACCCATTGGCATTGCCGTACTTGCTAAAGCACTCGTCGAAGAACCCGTAGACCTTGGTGATCTGCCGCGTCTCGTGGTTGCCGCGCAGCAGGGTGATCCGACTGGGGTAGCGGGCCTTCAGGGTCAGCAGTCGGGTGAAGGTCTCCAGCGAGTAGTAGCCCCGGTCGACGAAGTCGCCCATGAATATGTAGTTGGTGTCGGGCACCTGGCCGCCCGTGCGGAACAGCTGCTCCAGGTCGTAGAACTGGTGGGATGGGATGGCATGGTTAGCACTGGACCAGGGAGCACTGATCACCCATTTACCTGGCCATGGATGTCCCCGCAGACGGTGACGGGCGTGCTCACGGGCAGGATGTTAGTCTCCTCCAGCAGGATGTCGCACACCATCTCGCAGAGCTTCTTCAGCTCGTTCTCCGGCAGGTACTTGCACTCCCTCACGTTCTCTATCCACTTGTCCAGATCCATGTTGCCTCTTTCTTGGTGTTCCTGCTTGGGGGTTGGGGATGTGAAGCATGCACCAAAATATCAAAATTAAATATTTTTTGAATACTTTTATCGCGATGTTTGTTCACCCGATATATATCGCTATCAGTAAGCGTAGTGACAGAATACGTAAGTATCAGTAAACATAGTGTCACGTAAGAGCCACGTAAGTGTCAGTAAAATAGGGAGATAACGTAAGTGACATTCCTTTTGTTTTTTTCCTATATAACAATATTAGCAAAAAAATTAATTTAACTGAAAACCTATCAGAAATACTTGATATATCGAAATTTATCGGGTTAATAATATTTTACCCCAGCCAACATCGATGTTTTTCCACCTCTAATCCTGAAATCGAAGAGGAAGAGAAGCGAATTATCTGTTTTAATATTAAATATTGTTAATGATCGACATATTAATATTAATTTTATTTATATAAATTAGTATTATTAATATTAACATCGATATTTTATCTTCGGTAACATTTATATTTTAAATGTACTTTTTTATACCATAGAAATATAATAGGCTTCCAATTTTTAATGTAAAATAATGTCTTTCCAGAAGTATTGTTTTTAAAACATGGTCCCATATATGGATGGGAGGGGTATAAAAATATTGTGTCGAAGGTTATCTAAAACATAAATGCTTATATCGGAATCAGTGTGACTGCATCGCATCTAAATAATATACCAAACTATTATCGATTAATGAGTCGGGTCAATCGGTATTGTGGCCTGGCCTAGCTTGGTGTGTACACACTGAAGAACTAGTTCACATGTTATCGATAACTTATTCAAATTTAAATTTAAATTCAAATTTAAACTTTAGCACTTTGGCGGCACTCTTAAGTTTCTCTATTTCTGTTTCTCTTTTTTTTTGCTTAAGCCAAGGCAAAATTAGTTGCAATTAGCTTTTAGCCGCCGCAAATCATAATTAGGCTGCGCTGAAAGCTTTTTAAATCCTCTTACTTTTTAGCCCCACCATTTGTGCATATACTTCTTTTTTCGCTTCTTGAAAATAATCACGCTTTTAAATTTTATTGCCATGGCACGCTACTTGTTAGCTGTTTATTTTGTTTTTCTCCGCTGCTGGTTTTTGTTTTTTTTTTTTGTGCTGGGAAGGGGAGTGAGTGTTAAGGGTTATGAGAAGCGTGCTGGCATGCGTTTTTCGGCACGGGGTGGCGCACATGGGTTAATGGCCCTGGCGCTTGTTTAGAGTCTCATTAGCACGCTGCCATTTGATTGCGTTCCTCATTTTTTTCGGTTTCGCATCTTGAGTTGGCGAAATAAAAGGGCCATAAAAAGGTGACAATCTTTGAATCGAGGGAAATCGTTTAGATGTTTCCATTCGTTTGAGTCATTTTAATCTAAAAAATAATAAAAAGAAAAATGTAAAAAAAACTTGTATTGCTTAAAAAATCGTTGTTTGAAACCGTACAATGAAATTGCATGAAAAATTGTGTCATATTTTATTATATTGTTTTGGAAATCCCTTTTTTTTTTGTATTTCAAATATGTAGATACTAAGTTGTTTTTAATGGTACAATGAGATTGTATGAAATATTGTGCTATATTTTAGTTTTTAATGTGATAAGCTGAGTTAGGGACTCCCCTCTCCACTATATAGCTCTCTCTCTCTCTCATCTCTCTTTCCCCCTTTCTCTCTCCTTTACTCTCTTTCCCACTCCAGCGTTTGACAAGATGGCGTGCTCCATCATTAGTGCCGTTACTTTATGCCCTTCCGTTTTGGTATTCAACTTGGCTTGTTCTCTCCGCCGCTTTTTTTTGCTCTCTTGGCCATCTTTGGCCATCACCCCACATCCCCTAACCCCTCACATCCTCCCATCCTCCCATTGTCCTGGCTGTCGCTGTTTGTGTCCGCCTGGCACAATGTTGACAATTAAGTTAAACTTGTTTTCTTACTTCGTTTCGTTACGTTTCGTTTCGCCAATTCCGCTCACTCGCCCTCCCAAAGTCAAAGTCCTGTCGTCTGCGGCTGATGTGGCTGATAATTATGTGCCCCCTGCACGGACGAAGGGGGCAAAGGACAGCGGGCAGCGGACAACGGACAGTCTCTTGGCTTTATCTTTGCAGACACACGGTGCCAAAAAGTCCTGCGCTCCATACCAAATTCTAGCATATTCCATAGAACATCCTTTTAAAGCACATTCTGTAAACATTCTTTAAATAAAAGATGATTTACAAAGAACAAAATTATAATTATTTTAAAATAAAACACTCAAAAAACTATTGTGGTAGAGATTTTGTCAGCATGAATACTGAACATTACAAATTATCTTAGTTTTATTTATTTCAACGGTTATTGCAAAATTGCTGTATACAAAAAATGTAATGAGTATAATTTACCAATACGAATAGTTACTTAACTATAAAAAGGTTAATAATAATCCAAAACATAATGTGTATTTTTTTGTTTTCTTGGAATAGTATCCAATATTATAACTACCATAAAATAGTTAGTTGTGGTTATTTTGTTGTTGTTAGAGTAACTATTTCATTACTCCAATCGACAATTTGACGTGTTAGGACCGTTTAACTTTTATATTGGTCAATTTGACCCAATAGTTTTTTTGTGTGTACATGAAGAAGGCAAAAACGGTAAAAAAGAATCTTGTCTTAACTTAATTAAATTGAAGCCTGCAAGAAATGTATATTTTTACCTCTTTTCATACATTTTCATTCAATTGCTTGTGATGATTGTGTATTTTTCTGCTGTGCAAGAAATGTGTGAAACATTGAGAGCAAACGCAAAATGGTCAACAGTGGGTAGTTCCTATTTTTGGCATTGTCTCGACCGCCTTCTTTTGACCGAGCTGGTCATTTTAGCCCGGCTTTCCTCTCATTGTTGACGTTGTGTTAACTTGTTTTTTCCTGTGCCGCACTGGCCACGCCCTCCCCGCCCCCCGCCCACCTATCAGCTCTGCCATTTTCTTTTTTCCCCATTTCTTTGACGGCTTTTTGGCTGCCCTTGCTCTTGTCGCCTGAATTGTCGTCGAAAATTAAATAAAATTAATTACCGCGTGTGTTTGTATAAACACACAGCGAGACAAGACAGCGATGCGCGCACCACTGAACCGCCCAGCCACCCAGCCACCCAGCCACCCATCCACCCAACCACCCACCTGTGCCGTTTGATTCACGCGCGTGTGCGTATCCTGCGACCTCAAGGAGCCCACAGTCCGCCCACAGTGGCATCAACATTTAAATCAACAGCCGCACCAGCGACTCGCAGCCGCAACGGCGGGCCGAAGGATTTCCAGCTGACCAAATCGGAGGTCACTTTGTCATAACATTCGCGGGCTAATGAAGCGTTCAAGACGTGCGAAAAGCCAGGAAATGTCCGCTAATGATTACGGGCCTTTTAATAAGGTGCTCTGGTAAGTCATGGCATTAAATACTAACCATAATTTCGGATACTTACTACACACAAACAAACTTTTATGTAAAAAGTACCATTATAATAGTTAAATGACCAAAGAAACAATACAATTTACCATTTTATGGTACTTTTACTATTAAATAGTGATCAAAGCAAGAATAAAATACACCTCACTTTTTAAAATAGTTGTTAGCCTTTTATTACAGTTACGTAATCAGCCGTATTGGTATATTTTACCCATAACAATAGCCAATTTTTCAAAAACCTTTCAAATCAATAAATATAGGATATATTTTGATGTAAGTAACAATTCTTTAAAGTTACTTAACTATCCGCATTGGTTAGTTTCACCCATACAATTTTCTTGTGTGTGTCCTGGCATTATTTTTGAACCCACTTTATAATTCTGCTACACATTTCAGGCCCAAAAATGAATGAAAAATTCGTAATCACAAATAAACTCAAAGAGTTATTGACACGCTTGCCTTAGTTGTCCACAAAAAGCTGGACTGAAAATAAACATCGAAGTGCAAAGGCAAATTCATTTCATTTCACCAATGAATTACAACCGAAATCCAATTAGGGATAAATATCAAATATCAATAAAATCCACGAAACCTTTTCGGGGAATGAAACTAAAAAGTGTTTGTATGTGCAACCGTTTTTCCACTGTTCATTTGTACAGGCCAAAAGGCCGAATTCTCGCCGGTTCGTGTTACCAGGCTTCACTGTGTCCCATGGCGAAAGCGTGTCGGCGGCGGCATCTCCATCTCTTCACCTCCATCATCATTATCAACAGTTGCCATTCGGCTCATTGGAGCACAGTGGTCCAGGATCCAGGATCCAGGGTCCAGGATGCGGAATCGGAGAGCTCTGGTGGAGTCGGCGGTGCCGTGTTGCTTTAAATTATCTGTTGTTGCTGCCGGCACCACCCGAAAACCCAAAACCCCATCCGCCCATTCACCCACCATCCCAACCATCCCAACCATCCAAGCACCCACTTTTCCCCTAAAAACCCCCAACCACTGCCACCCATCTTCTATTTAACGCTCCAGTTTTAGCATCATTCTGCACTGAGAGAATTTACGAGTCTAAGCAATTCGCTAATGTTTCACTGTTTCGAAAATTCTTTTCAACTAGCCTTTAGCTAAATGAATCTCATTAATTTGTAGTAGTTTCCAAAATCACAGCAAGCTAATTCCGAAATTCTGAAAAAAATTTAAAGTTTCTAAGTCCTAAATTTAAAATACCCTCATAGATTTATTGTGAAAATATTTTAAATTGTATTTTTATATACTAAACCTAAGTTTTTATATCTTTCTATTGGTTTTTACCCGTAAGAATTCAGTATATTATTTTTTTTCCTTATAAAAGATTTCTATCTGTAGGTTGGTTTTTGAACCTTAATAATTCAGTAATTTAAAACGTTTCAATAGCTAAATAAGAAATTTTAGAAAATCTCTAGAGATTTATACCTAATGACATATATTTTAGTCAGGTATGATTTTTGAACCCCGTTCAATGGGTGTTTTCTTTCTGTGTAATTTTTCGAGGGCAACATCTTGCCACGTTTGCTGTCATTTTTAGGCGGGTTCTCGTGTCGTTTGGCCACGTTTTGTCGCCCAGCTGGTGGTGCTGGGCGGGTGGGTGTTTTTCGGGCGGGTTTTGGTGGCGTTACTTCAC